TAGGTTATCATTTAAACTCAATCACTGGAGCCCAGAGATCCTCAGCTGAATTTAGATGGTTCTGGAAAATCTGCAGTGTGCAGTTCTCAACCCAAAACTGCAGATTCCTTCCGTWAAGTCATCCTCTCCCATGAAATGACTAAGATCACACTGTAAATATTTTGAACCATAACAACACTTCAYTCCTCAGACAGCATCTAATTCCAGTGAAATCATTAGTAAATCTCATATTGGTTTCAGGGGAATAAGATGAGAACCTAYAACAGGGCATAAAAGGTTGTATTTTCCATCATAAATTAAACACAGAAAATCAGTAATTCTAAGACTTYTGTTTAGCCCAAGGGCTTTATACAAACATTGTGTAATGTCCTACCAAGTTCAATTAAAATGCCATAATCAAATAAACACCAAACAAATCTATGACTACTATTCATTAGGCTGAAATGGAAATAAATGTTTTTAAGTGAGATGGATGAAATTCTATCCCAACAGAGGGATTGCCAAGGAAAATTAGTATTACCAAAAGACAAATAGTATTAGAGGACAGACAATATAAAACGTTAGTACTTTATTATGGTTCTGTGTTGTGTGGCTATGGTACAATTGAAGTCTGATCTTGTTTTGTTTCAACTGCTTTTGCCCATGGCAAAGCTCCCTCTCTTTTAAGCCACAACAGAATCAGACCCATTGAGTAGCACCACAATCTCATGTTGTAAATTTGAAGTATTTTACACTGCGTTTACTGAAAGGAAGGAGAAATAATGATGCCACCATGCCATCTGCCACTTCTCAAGCTGAATAGAACAGACTATGTCAGTCAAAGGGTAAAATATTTCTTTAAAATTACTTTGTGTTTATTTTCCTTGTTAAGGCGTTTTGGTTGCTTAGTAACAATATTCTGCATGTGAACTTGTAGCATCTGTGCAGAATGTGAGATGTTAACATGTTTGTAAAAATTAGGAATCCAATTAACGTTACCTCTATGGTCCTTTTAAATGATGTCCTCTATTTTTTTTCCTTCTGCAGATCACCTGCTTTTGTAAAAAGGGACAGATTTGTATCTCAGAACAGAGAGAAATTATAAGTTTGGGCTTCAGTACTTATGAGAAAAAGAGGCTGGTCTTTTTACTTGGAGAATGTAGTAAAGTAATTTGTGAAATACCTAAGTGGCTCTCAAACGCTGTGTAATTCTGCCTGTGTGGTTACTGCATGCTGGATAATGTCTGTCAGCAATTACATGTCTCCCAATTAAACTAACAAGAAAAGCACTCCATGTCAGGAATCTAACTTGATGACTCTCAGAACTATGGGAGAAAGATTTTAAGCAGAGAACCAGAGGCACATCAAGAGATGTTGAACTCCATCCTCTCACCTCTCCAGCAGAAGGTCTATTGGAAGGTACCCTACAACTTCACAGGCAGAAACAGCTGATCTGGGGGGTTTGGACCAAGGCAGATGCCCTAAGCACACACGCACCTACCCACCTCTGTATAGTCCACGGAGGGCAATAGRCTCACCCAGACAGTAAGTCATCTGTCTGCCTTAGGATGGGATGAATCACCTTTTTCTGCATTGACTAAAGCAAGCCAAACACGTCTAGCCAGCAGCACGCTTTTAAGATAATTAAAGTTTGTCRAGATTAATCCCTCCGTGCATGTTCATTTTATTTTTTTCTGTTGGATTTATAYATCTGGTGTATTTTACCTTCTGTTGTGGCAGTCCATGCTCATGTAAGGTTCACATGAACTCCAGCTGGGAAGCAGCGTGAGAAAACACTGCAGCACTCACCTTCCGATACGCGAAGTGTTTGACTGGGTCCTTTCCTTCATTAGAGACATTTGGTTCTACCTGTCTAATCCCTTCAGTCGCTGGCTGGACATGATGCCTGCAGACAGCTGGGTATTATCCCCAGGGCCCTGGGATTGTCACAGTGAATTCTGTGGAAAGATACAGTTTCATTAAGGTGTGTTGAGGGAGCTGAAGCCATAGCCCCATTAAAAAAAAAAAAACTAATTATTGCGGTGGGCAGTGTAGCAATTTCTGCTCACTTTATGTAATGTAGGAGTTTGAGCTGGTGCCCAGCAGAGCTGTGGCACAGGAGAGGGGCCTGGCCAGCCTCTCTTGCTTCTCTTTTCCTGCTGTTGCCTCCCTGAAAGCAGCACAAGCCACAGGACTGTGCAGAGGCTCGGAAAGCAGCCAGGAAGCTCTATCCCTCCTTCCAGAAGCTAAAGGGCTGGAGATGCCCCTCCTTTCTCCCCTTGACTGTTTGTGAACCCTTACCTGATTCCTTTCAGCATCCTATGGAGCCTATATGATAATTTGGCAGCTGTTAAGGCTCTCAGTGAAATCAGTTTAGCTGTTTACTGGCACCTCCTCCCACTGCAGGCAAGCATCCTGCCAGCTCAGCAGTCAGAGAGAAGATTGTAGCTGATGCAGACGAGTTGCTGGACCCCAAAAGCCCTGCAATGCCCGTGATAAAAGCTGCAGCTCTCATTGACTGGCAGAATGGATAGGTTGACACTCACTGTTTACCTTGGCATCAGGGCCTGGAGCTCTTCACATGGATATATGGATCTAGGTGCATGAAGGCCTGTGCATACTTTTTTCTTTTTTCCCCCCTACTCTTAGATAATTTGGATAATAGTGTAATGAAGACTGCAAGAAGGATTTATTTCATTATGGAAGACTAGATTCTACTGGCCACGTGTCTACCAGTGACATGCAGCTCCTGTCATGAGCTTCAAACATCCAGAAACCCCAGTATCCATTGAGCTTGTGAAGCCCTAAAACACACACACCTGATACTTTCAGATAACTGTTAGACTCACTACATACCTGCTTGTGGTCACAGTGTGTATGCAAATAGTCCCAGTGCCTTGGGGAATCATCACTTCCATGCATGGAACATTTGCTTTATTTTCTGACTTGGTAATTCTGTGCAAACACAAAACACAAACACGCTCCATGGCTAAGGGGACATTTGTCTAAGACTGCAGAGCTGCAGGCTGTTTGGGGGCTACGAGACATAGTCAGTAGCAGCAGCTCTTAGTCTTAGTACATGGGCAGGTGTTGAGACCCCGTGCTGTTATGTGAGCTCTTTGGAGCATAATGAAGTATCTCAGAACCCCTCCCAATTCTTGCAGGTGAACGTGAGTTTGCTTGAAAATTGAAGGACTGGGTGATGGGGATTATTGGGCTCAGTTGTCATAGGTGGAAGTTAACAGCTTTATGCACAATGAGAAATTATGAGGTGAGCAGTGAGTATAAATATACAAAAAGTCTAAAAATGAAGAAAAGATACTAATGTTTAATGTGGTTGCATATGCAAGCTGTTCCAAATCAGGAGTCTTGTGACTTTAACAAATATCTGGTTTCATTCTGGGTCTTACCTGCCTCTATTAAATTCTCAATTGAATTGATGAAATTTTTTTTCCTTTCCATTTTGTTTTGTCTATATGTTTGCTTATTTGGATGATTCCTTCCTGTGGGGTGAAGATCCACAGGGTAGGTGGCAGAATTAGGCCTCCAGCAACTCATGCTAACATAAATATTCAAGCTGCATCCTCCCTCGAGTTTACAGGGGAAGATTTTTTTTTCAGATTATTCTAATTCTCTTCATTTTCTAGAGAAACTTMTGCAAATTTTTGCAAATCCCAGTTCTTTAGCATGTCAGTCCACTACTTAACAATGCTACTGCACTGGATGCATTCTGCAAAAAGTATGATTTAATATTCTTCTTTTTAATGGTAGTTTCTTATACTGCTTACCTCATTATATCCAACAAGCACTTAGACAAGAGCACAGTTGTCCTGCAAATGAACAAGTTCAYGTCTGTGTGGAAAGCCAGCTCTTGTGAAGCACAGCACAGACACGGTGAATAGCAGTGGTCTGGGCTCCTACGAGAGAATTGACATTGCTCCTTAGAGCCAGACTTTCTCACTTTGACATAATAGCTGCAAGTAATTCTTCTTTCCTAGCTCTGAGTTACCTTTCTGACAGCCCCTGCATGAGGCACTAGATTTGCTTCTGACTGATTGAGGCCAARTAAATCAGAAATCACAGTTACAGCTGCAAATTCATGAGTCTGCAGCCCTGTGAAATTAATTCACCTCTATGAACTGACAGGCCAAACCCTATGTGTGTTGGGAAGAAGATGAAAATTTAACAAAAACTGGTTTGGGTCTATGTATTTTAATGTTTTTAAAGTGGAAAAATCGTTTGCAGAGTGTAATAGAAACATGTATTTGAACTGATAACACTTGCAGTCACGTTCAATAACATATTTCGCATTTCATATTTTAATGTATGGCATATCAGCTTGATTAGATAAACAAACTACAAAGTATGACTAGTTCCTTTTTTCTAGTGTAGAACCTCAGTGCATTAAAAAGGGCTAAAATGACCCCTTATTTAAGAATATTAAATTCTTAAATTTAATAYTTTATTAAATTAAATTCTTAAATTAAAGGAGAGAATTTGTGTGTATATTTGGTCTGGGTTCTCTGTGTTGGAGTTGTTCTTCATGAGGCAGCCCAGCTCCCTTCCAGGCCTCAGCCTGTCATTTCTTATATAGATCAAATTTTCCAGTGCCAGAATGCRTCACGCTCCATCCAGTCACTTGTCCAGGGTTTCCTGGGTTGTTTTCTTGAGGCTGCCATGGCACATCTTACTTCCCACAAGGTGATGAGTATAGTCCTGGGAGTCACACAGCCCTTTTAATAGTATATATAGAGATTTGGTACTTTCCCCTACTGGAGGGGAAGTTCTTATCATACCTGGATCTTTCAGTCTCTGGACATATTGAAAAGTTCTGTTGGGGCAGATATGGTGGTAGCAGAGATGTGGGACAGGAGATAGATGAGACATGTACAGTACAGAAGCCAGGACTCTCTAAGTGAAAGCTGCTTCTGCAGTTTTGGAGGCAACTGCCTTCCCAATGTATGYGTGTTGAGCAGACTGCATTCCCACCTTTCAGAGGAGATTTAACATGTCACTTGGCTGGCTTTCACTTCCTTATCTGGAATATTTTCATACAAGATAATTTTCAAAATTAGGAATAGGAGGATGGGTCAGGGCTTTTAAGTTATTCTCGTAGCATTCGTGTGGCATGACCCAGTAACAGCTATTTTTTTTATTCTGCAGGTTGTGTCTGTGTGACAAGAACACATGATTTTTAACAATGAAAAAATTCACTCTCTTTGATTTTGTAAGTGATAACTCACTGCAAATTGGAGAGACTTCCTGGATAGAAGATCTTCCCAGTGATGACAACGAACTAGAAAGGCTCCTGAAACGAAATGAGCATGTGCTGGTGAACTGGCCTGTGGGAGAAAGAAGGACAGAGAAGCACCTGGTGAAGGTTGTGTACATGAGTGGTGAGTACAGTGCAGAGYTTGGGGCTGACAGGGGATTTTACTCTACTTACAAAGTAGCAGTACTTAATTTTGCTGATTATTCTTTTCTTGGGCCTTTCTTTCCCTTCACTTCAGATGACCCCCAAGAGCTGGTGGAAATGATGCAGAAGATACTGCAAGCAGATGAAATTACAAAAATACAAGTCCTTGGAAAAGGCAAGAGAAAGAGGATAGAAATGATATTCTCCGAAAGTGAGGACAGTGACCTGGCTCAAGCACAGGTGAGTTTCTGTCTTTATGGGGTAAGCTCATGATATAATCAAGTAGACTGTAGCAGTTGATTCACAGTGAAAACACAAAACAGTGGTTTTGTGGTTCACAGCAAAAAACAAAAAATACATGTGCTGAAGGTAGRAATACTTCACATGATGTCCCAGCACAGTAACATGTCGGAGAAAGCATTTAGGCCAACTTAGGCTTATGTAAAGAAAAAATGTTATTCAAGATTTTGGGTGCCCTATAGATCCGTTGCATCCTCTGCCATAAGACACATCCCTGAGCACTGCACAAGGGCAGGGCCCAGCATTTCTGATCTCTGCTTGGTTCTGAGGACTGCAGTGGCACAACTAGGGGAAAGAAGACCTACAGCTCAAGATTAACAAAAGGCTGCAAATGTTTTACTCAAAAATACTCAAAAATAGAGAATGTCACGGAAAAAGTGAAATTTATAGTATACCACAAGATACTCAGATGGAGAGTTCTCTAGAAATGGAGAGGAACTGTGCTCTTGCTTGCAGGGGAGAATGCTGAGGCCTGTGAAAAGGAAGAAATCATTACAGGCAGCTGCCTCTGCTAACATCCTRAGTCAGCTTGAAACATCTTTAATTAACAAACAGGTAAACATTTTGTCTGGAATAATTTGAATCTGTTAAGGAAAAGGAAACATTTATTTATTTGAAGGAGATATCAGAGCTTTGGTTTGGTAAAGTTTTGGTTCTTAAAGGTAACACCTTAGAAAAGCAGTGAATGGAGAACATAAAGGGAAAAAAATCTAACAGATAAGTGTTATTCTGCAATTTCATTTAGAATTCAAACCTAAACAGTAAAATTCATGTTCTGTAACGGGTATCAATAAAATACACCGAGTCTRTTTGTATAGTTTGTGTATATAAAGGCAATATTCTGATTTAGCCAGATATTGTGATGATAATTTTAATGCTTTAATTTTCTGTGTGTTGATTTAAATAGACTTTTTTTTTTCCAGAGAGAGCCCTATTCAGGAAACAACTATTCGTACAGTGAAAGCAGCAGTGAGGATGAAGAGCCCTTATTTCAACTATCCAAGGTGGAGCTGTGTGCCAAAATAAAGAGCCTCAAGAGGAAACTGGCAGACACCATGAGGGAAAACTGCCGCCTGAGGCAGTCCCTGGTCGTGCTCCAAGGTAAAGACAGGGGAAACGCGGTGCTGAAGCGCAGAGCCTGAAGGCTGTGAAAAGCTGGATTTATAAAAGAGCCTTTGGATGGGAGTTATGGATGCTCGAGCACCTGGCAAGGTCAAGGCCTACCGATAGTACAGTCTTCGTCACATAGCAACATTTAATTCCAGCAACACTTACAAAATAAAATCATCTTGAGTGGAGACCACATGATCACAAGGTTAAAAGCAGAAAAATCTATCCAAATCCTGCCAGTTAGTCCCGCGAAAATGTTTCTTTCCTATATGTAACCACAGGCTAAACTTGAATACTCCATTGACCAGTCCAAGGAAATCTTACTCATTAAGCAACTATTCTTCATCTACTGAAATTGCCTTTATTTTGGAATGCTTTTATTTTAAAATTATTTGGTTAATAATCAGTATTGATTATTAAGTTAGATCTAAGTTAGATCTAAGTTAGATCTAGGAATAACACATTAATTCTTTCATGAAGCTTTCTATTTTGTTCTTTTATAAATGAATCTTTAATCACTTAGTGACCATCTCTGAAGTCTCTCTTATTTGACCCTGAGCCTTTTTCTGAAGTATCCAAGACTGAATCCAATATTTCAAATCACTGTGAATAAATTTTCAAAGAGGATATGCTACTTCCTAACCAGCTACATCATAGCACTCATGCACAACCYGCTACATCTCTTGTTTTTATTGTCTTATGATTTTGTAAATACTTATTATTTTCCTTCTCCACCTGTTAGTGTCACACAACTTAGACATTTAAGTCCTTTCATCTTGAGCATTTTTACAGCATTTTCCAATAAGTTAATGATTTTGTACCTTGCTGATTCTTTATCCATCACATCCTTTCAGCTCACTAAATTAATTTTTTTTAATGCACTCAATGAAAACTTATTTTTGAAACTAAATGTTAATCAGAGAAGTGGCCATTTAAAAGACGTTCTCTATAGATTAAAAAATGGGAAAATAGAGTAATTTAAGGTGTCTGTAAGGTGTAACTCCTTTGAAACAACCGAAAAATCAAGCGTATCACTATTTGGCCTGTATTCAGCATCACTGAAGGCTTGTTCAGATTTTGAGATAGCAAAAAGAAGAAAAAGAAAAATACCTACCTTAGTGCTGTGAGGGGCATAATCTGCTTTTAGTATGAGAGAACTTATGTAGCATGTTGGGAAGGCAGAGGCCACAACTTCACAGGTGACAGCAGGAGAACGACAGGAAGATTTTGAGAAACTAGGAAAAAAAAACCCATGTTAAAGCATCTTTGTTGATTACTTTCACTCTTTTTCTTGTGTGACAGGACTTTAATTACAAAAATATGTGTGCTGACACAGTTGGAGTCTGGAAGATCCCATGACAGTTCTTAGCCATTACTTTCCATTTAATTCCAGTGTTGCCACAGGCAGTCACCCATTTTGAGGAGCTGGTGGGCATGGCAGAAGCTCTGCTCAAAGGAGGAGTGACAAYGTCGGGGTCCAGCCTTCCCTCACATGCTGTTTGGAAACCGCCAGGCAATTCTTACGCAGATTCCTGTGCAACTATGCACAGTAACTCCAGCTCACCCGTGACTTTGAACGTGGAAGATGAGGAGCAACAGATTGAGAAACAGGTCAGATAAGAGGCAATTTAAAGCACAAAAACTAAAAATTGTATAACAGATATAAAAAGGATCAGGAAAAATGGTTCTGGGCTCCTCAATATGAGAGGGATGTGGAACTTCTAGAGAGGGTCCAGCATAGGGCGACAAAGATGGTTAAGGGCCTGGAGCATCCACTGTATGAGGAAAGAGTGAGCGAGCTGGGTCTTTTTAGCRTGGAGAAAACTGAGAAGAGATCTGATCAATATATATAAATACCTGAGGGGAGAATGTAGAGAGGATGACCCTTGGTGATGACCAGTGACAGGACAAGGAGTAATGGGTACAAGTTGAAACACAGTCAGTTCCATCTCCATGTGAGGGAACTTCTTTCCTGTGGGGGTGACAGAGCCCTGGCACAGGCTGCCCARGGAGGTTGTGGAGTCTCCTTCTCTGGAGATCTTCAAAACCCACCTGGATGCCGGCCTGTGCCCCGTGCTCTGGGTGTCCCTGCTGGAGCAGGAGGTTGGACTAGATGATCTCTAGAGGTCCCTTCCAACCTCAACCCTCCTGTGCTTCTGTGAAATCATTCTATCTTCATTCACTCGATGAAGTGACTGAAGAGCTTGTTTTGTGCAGAGGGACATTTCCATGGGTCACCCTAGACATACTTCAGCGTGCTGGTGCGGCCTGGAACTTGTTTGGAGTTCTTTGGCTTTGCACAGGCCCACTCATCACGAGCAGAATGTGAGTGAATGAAGGAAACACTGAGATCCAAGAACAGGTCCTGCTCTGGTGTTTCAAATACTGGAGGGGAATGACAGCATTTCAGAGGTTATCTAAGGAAAATACCAGCACAATCTGTTTAAAGCACTAATAAGTAAAATGGAAGATGGTGTTTTCTGCTCTTGTTCCAAACACCAGCCAGCTGTCAGTAGAAATATATATTTTGCACTGCATAAAGATATTCCCATATTCTCCATTATAACAGAACAGAATTGAGAAGCCTCAGGCATAGAGGCTGTACAGGAAAAAAAAAAAAAAAGAAAAAAAAAACTAATGAAAATAATAATTCCAGCTTCTGCATTCACAATTCTCACAAGCATTTTTTGTGCACTGAGTCATGCCAATCTGTAGAAGTCATGTGTCCTTATGGGGTTCCCCCCCTCAAATAAATGCATTAAGAATTATCAAGGCGTGATTCTTTGACTAAATAGCACAGTGCACAAGATCTGCCTAGCCCAAGGAACTAAAGAGACCAAGTTATCTGAGCAACCTAACCTTCCTGCTGAATAGAAGTAGCTCAGAACTGTACATTGGGAGAGTTTGCATGCAGCTGTGGTGTGGAAACCTCCAGTGTAGAAAGCTCCAGTGTGGAAACCTCCTGGGGCCACACATGGCAGTGCCTGGAGCATCCAGAGGCACCGCTGTTGGTTTGGGCACAGCATCCTGTTTGTGGCATGTGAGCAGAAGGACTGAGAGCTGCCTGAACGTGTCCTGTTGCTGCCACGCAGAGCAAGAAGGGCTGCTGGGGAAGTGGTGCATAATATTTCCAGGTAACTTCAATAGTTCTGCCTATGACCAATTTTGTTTTCCAGTTCAAGATCGAGAAGTGGCAGATTGCACTTTGCAACAAGAGCAAACCTCAGAAGTTTATAAATGACTTGATGCAAGCCCTTTATACACACGAATACATGGCCACGCACAGCCTGACGGGTGCAAAGTCCTCCTCCTCCAGGGACAAAGCAGCAAAACCAGCTATGAATCAGAATGAAGTTCAGGAAATCATAGGTGATGACTTGTTAACATTATTCAATATGGCACTGAATTGACAGGGGCTTTCTTGAGGGGCAGTAAAACATTACAGCTGCTAACTCAGCTCATGGACTATTTCATATTTTCTTCTTCGTCTTCTCTTTGTTTTAACTTAGCTGTGATAAAGGCTTATAGTGAAGTGCTATGTAGTAGTGTTTCAGATGAGCAAATTCTGTGTTTTCATTTAATAGTGGCATAGCAGCAATGTAATTTTTTTTAGCCTTTGCAAGAATTATATACAACAGTCATGCCTGGAACACAAAGGTAACAAATAAAAGGGAGGCAAAGGGAGTACATTTGATCAGCTTTGAAATAAGGCCTGCTCTATTCTGTAGTTGGTGAAGATTACAAATTCTGACATTTTAAATAGGGTTTCAGGCAAAGCAAAGAGAAAAGTATAAAATACAGTGATTGGGGAAGCAAGGAGAATGGATTTCCTGATGAGGTTTAAGGCAGAAAGTGTTTGGTGCATAGGAAAGAGAAAATCATTTCATATGAACAGAAAGAGAAAATCATTGCAGATGCAAGTAGCAACTTTAAAGAACGTCATATTTTGTTAGCACCAATTTTATTTGGATTAATACCAGTAAACCTTAATGGTTTACTAATTTAGCCGTATTTTCTGAACCAGAATCCCTTCCCCACTGCCAGTCTTCTTCCGTACCCTAAAGTCCCTCCAGTCCCCGCACCCCTTTGACAAGTTTTATTGAAGTTGGCCATCAGTTTCAAGAGTTACCAATAGGGTTTTTACGGTACAGTTGCATATACCTCTTTTTCTTAGGAGGCTATATAGAGAAAAAAAGTGCCAAAATCAAGAAGAAAGAGACAGTGAAGTGGTAAAAATGTATTTAGGACAGTTTGACAATAAAGTAACATAAAACTGAATATATCCAAGTGAATATATCCAAAAATACATAATGGGAATAATAATGTTTTTGGTAGCTTTGCCTGTTTCTCGAGTGCCAGCTATGAAGAGGAGTACACTCTCTTTGCCAGGGTATTATCAGGAGAGGTGGACATAGCCAAAGATCAGGTGGATGAGAGAAACAAGGAAAGAAAATTCACCAAGTTCAAGGAAAAAAAAGCCGTAAGAAACGAAGAGCTAGGGATTTAAGACACCAGATAATAAATAGCTTGAGTGTTAAAAAAAAAAAGGTTTCTTGGTTGAAAAGCTACTGGCAGCTTTTTTAAAGTGAAAGGGTGGGTTCAGTGAAAGGGTCTGAGCAAAAGTGAAAAGGAAAGCAGAGAATATAATATAACCCGAACGCAATACACAGACTGCTGCAGGAGAGCTCAGTGACAAAGGGAACCTATAGCAAAGTTAAAGAAATGTTATTAAGCGAAACCAAAGCCCTCAAGAAATCAATAAAAAACTGTTAAAATAACATTATACAGGAGAAGAAGAAAACTAAGGAGGAAGTATGAGAATTCTAGGACTGCAGAAAATGAGTTAGATCAGATTATTTAAAGAAGAGGAAAGCTGTTGAAATGAAAGGAAATTAAAACGGACGATGGAAAGTGAAGATAATGGAGAAGAGGGGAGCAGGAAGCGCATTCCTGATGCCCAGTTCTGTTAGTATTGCCTTCAAAAAACATTAGGCAGTTAATGGAAAAAAGAGAAAAGCAATTTTGGAGAAGGAGACGTGGACTGCAAATGAAGAGTAATGAAGAGACACTGCAGGATTCAGTGGGGTGAGAACTATGGAGGACAGAAATAGTCATGTCTGATAAGGAACAGAACGGAGGAAGGGAACAATATCCCTTGTAAGTGATGCTTGGCCCTGGAGCTGCCTTTGAGGAGGCCAAAGGCAGGCACAGCAGCATGGGAGGCACAGGGAGAGGTGTGCAGCACCTGTGAAGCAGTCAGTGAACACCACTACAGCTGCAGCTGTGGTAGTTGGAAGTGTCAAAGATGCAATAAATGCATTTTGGGTCATGCACGTGTGGTTTCCATGGTTTGGAAGCCTCATATATGTCATCTCTTTGCTTTGTAGGAATCACCAAACAGTTGTTTCCAAACACAGATGATGCTTTGATTAGAAGAATGATGGGACAAAAACTAAACAATTGCACCAAGAAACCAATTTTAAGCAAAGATCTTAACTCAGGTGCTTTTCAGAATCATGGCTTCTGGTAAGTCTCCAAAACAAATGACATATACAGTGTGCCATTGCCTATGTTCCCTGTGGCAATGAAAATCAAAAACAATCTTAAAAGTTATCTTTAAGGTATGTGTTCAGATATGCGTTGCCCAGTAGCTAAATATTTTCGTGTCCAATGTACAGTGATTACAGTATATAAAAGCAGCTCGGCTTACCATTACAGCACAAAAGAATGTTGCTTATTCTGGACAAGGCAGCACAAGGTAAGTAAAGAACAGGAAGAGAAGACAAGAGTGAGGACATGAAGTTACTTTACTTTGATCAGTGTATTTTATACATTTATACATGTATTTTATACATTTATACATACATATACAAATCTATTTTAGATTTGACATTATTTACTTTCCTATTATGAGCATATTTACCTTCTGAATAAGACTAGCCTAAAACTGATGAACGCACCACTGTTGACAGTGGAGTCACCTATTTGCGTAATCCTTTTTCCATATATACCAAACATATATATTTATATACTTAAAAACTTACTTATATAGAATATGGCAGGGCAGAACTTAAAAAAATAGAGAAAAATATTTGATATATATATATCTATATATAAAGAAGGCTCCACATGTGTAGAAGGCAACTCTATAGGATTTTTATCCTGACTTAGGAAAGCTCCTCTATAGGAATGCAAAGAGGGACAAGATTAGTATAAAACCAGTGGGGCTGGGTGATACACTATATTTTTCCTTGTCCTATAAAAAGAGCAAATCAAAGATAAACATTTGAAAATACATTGTYGTTGGTTCACACAGGTGAAAGTAATAGCACAAAAAGACAGACTTGTTCTTCTTTGGAGTGTTATAGCTTAAATGTAATGGTACMTATGACTTTTATAATCTTCAGCAGATGAATCCATAAACTTTGCTAATTCTTGACTGTTACCCTGCGGCACAGAAGCAATTCTCCTGAAGTCTTAACAGGAGGATCTTGAGCACCAGCTCAACAGTACAAATACACAATATATACAACAAACACCATTCTGAGTTGCTTTTCAATAGTGCCTGAAGACCTTCCAATTTAAACTTGGTATCTTAAAGCAAAAATATCTTTATTTCTGTTATTGAGATGTCCGTATGTAAAACGCAATTCAATATCCATGGAAACCAGTGCAAATATTGCCTAAATTGATTCTCTTGAATGAGTGTTTAAGAAATGTATTAGTAATTGATCATTTTATACCTAGTCAGAATTTTCTTAAGGTAWAAGTATTTAAATATCATATAAGTGATATGATATTTATATATGATAATATGATATTTAAATATCATATAATCATCCTATAGATAATRTTACTGTTTTTTCTACCTCAGGTGACACTTTTTTTTTGCAAGAAAATTGGGAAAATATTAGACTTCCTTCCGTTCACCTCCCATAGATGAAGTGCAAGAGGAGATAAGTCAAGAGAAACATTTGTTATGTATATAACAAACTGTGTTATGTATACTAACAAATTCAAACTGATGACAGTGTGGTTTCAAACTCCTCTCTCTCTGTTCCTGTTTCCCACCCAACCTCCTCTCCCCACAAAATTACTACAATTCAGAAGACCAAATTGTAGTCAAGTCCATTGGGACAGACAAATCATCCTCTCCGATCTGTCAGACTGAGGTGAGATGAGGGAAAAAAAAGAGCATGTCGATGAGGGGAACTAGTTAAATAGCTTAATACACTGCAGTGCTCCAAAACTTGGGAGAGGAGGGATCATGTCCCTGCTTATTTATGAATTGCCTCCACAGCGGTTMCACGGCTGCTCCTCAGGGCATTCCGCCTTGGGCCCTCCCTCCCGGCGCACAGGACAGTCGGGATCGGGATGAGGATCCACCAGCTGCTAAGGCACCAACGCAGCAAGGCCGCAGCTGCCCTGCTGGCCCCTGTGCCGCCGCGCGGGCRCCGCCGGAATGCGGCACATCCGCCTCTTCCCACCCGGAGTCGCGTCCCTTGAGGAGCTTGGCACCCTCTCCCACCCAGGGCTGCCCAGAGGATGTCGGGAATTCAGACGAGGAGGAACAGAAGGTACTTGGCAGCGTTCAAGCTGCCTGTGGAGATTAAGGAACAGTATRAAGTTAAATAGGCAGGAATGATATGTAATGGGCCTGGCATCAATGGTTGAAGATACTGCAAGCAGAACAGAAGTCAGGAACCACTTTCTCAAATCCCACAGCATTAAAATAATAATAATAATAAAGGAAGGTGTATGAAATTCTTTGGCTTTAAGGTATTACTAAATATTTGCACATTATGCTATAATTCAAAAAATATAAACTTGTCCTGAAGAACACAGGAGGAGTTTCCCCTTAGTTAGATAAAGAGCACAGGATTTGCAATAATATCAAAATAAAGTATAAGAGGCACTTTAATTCCCATGCATTCACCATGATAGCTGATGGAAAAGTGAGATCCRGGAAAGTTATTGCATATTGCTGCAAAAAAAAAAAATACAGTTAGAAAGCAAGGAACCACATGAGCAGTGAAGGAAGATGTAGCTCCCGAGATGTGTGTAAGGGAGAAACAGGATGGCCAGTTCGGCTCCTCTCTCCCTTTGCTGCGAGTGCTGTGGGTTGGCAGCTCCCGCTGCCTCTTCCTTCCCGCACGTCAGCTGCGGAGCCTGAGCAAGGGTGAGCCCTTCAGAGGGTCGCTCGAAGGGCGGCACGGCCAGGAAAGGATGGAGGCGGCAGCTCCTGCTGCGCCTCGCGCTTGGGACACTGCCTTGGGGCTGGGGGGCGGCAAGGGAGGCCGGGCGGCCCTGGCCGCGTCCGTACAAGAAATCCCTGCGCTCCGCGGCGGCCCCTCCGGAGACCTCTGGGTGCAGCAGGGCAACCGGCAGCCTGGGGCTGCCTGGAAAGGGGGGACACGACCCCTTTCCCCCACTGTTGCTTCTCACTGTTTGCCCCACTCAGTTTCTTCACTGTTTCCCCCACTCTTGCTTCTCGGTTTATTTTCAACTGGTTCTAGGTTCACACTGTGCGAGCGGGATGAGAGGTAGAGACCATAGCTGCCAGGTGGAGTGTATTTCCTCTATTTTCATAGAGTAACAACAGTTAAATATAGTTTATACTTGGCATACAAGCAACTAATGAATGAAGACGGAAAAATAAAACCATGAAAATGAAGGAAATTAGGATGATTTGAAGAGAGATATATCTGAATTAGAAATAAATTAGAGGTACTGTTGGGGTGGAGGACARGGTTAGCAGCTGGATACTTTGTGAGAGGGATGCAACCAGCCTTCGTTTTACTGRAACAATAATAAAATGCACTATAGAGAAGATTTTTGCATGGGCAGGGTTGTGGATCTGTTGGCCTTTTTCATCTCTCGTGTCTATCAATTCCTTGTAGGTAGGATTGAGATGAAAGCAGATATGAAAACGACACAAACTCTATCTTATGTTGTTCATTATCATCCGTCAAATGTAACAGAAACATATTCACCATTATGTATATTTTGTAATGTACCTGTATGTATAGCGTACATAAATGTATATAGTTAATCCGTATTTTTGAAGCATCTTTCTATCAAATAAAATTAAACATTATTATGTCTTAGTTTTATTCTTATTCTCTTCTGGGCCTTTTCTGTAATCAGTCACCGTTTTACACTCTCACACTTGCTCTTTTTTACTGGTTCTGAAAAGATCTTCTGTAAAACTCACACCTTTTAACTGGGGAGAGCTCTGGTGTCATGGAGCAGTTCAGCTCCTGGGCTGCTCCCTCTGTCTCTGGGCCAGCACTGGGGGTCACGATGCACTAGGTGGTCCTTCCATGGTCCTTCCAGAATAGGAAGGAGATACAAGTGGTTTTCCAAAAGATCCTGACGACCTCTCTGCGAATACAAAACTCCAGACTAAATAATGGCAGACAAATTGCTACAGAAGTGACAAGGGGAAGGGAGAGGAGAACCAAGCAGTTTAACACTGGTTCTCCCAAGATTTGCCCAAGAATCAGAATTAGTTGGTGACATGTAAATACCGTGTGTCACAAAGTGTAAAATCCAGCTGTTCTCGAGCGATAGAGGATGCGTTACTTGCATTACTCAGAATCAGCGCAGTGCAGTGCTGAAAATCATTTGAACAATCCATTTCTAGTAGTGCATTTTAGATTAAGTTTAAAGATTATCTTGAAAAAAAAAAGAAAAGAATTTGGCCATTGTTTATTATGAACTGGTTAGTAAGAATATTTGTCCTCTAAAGAGGGAAGAACATTGGGGTATGTGAAGACYGGGATTAAAAGATGACTGAAAAACATAATACTACTGAATAAATCAATTTCATGTGTGTCTGGTTCCTGTCCCTTCTTATTAAAATCTAGTATACAACCTGACTATGACTAAAACTAAACTAAACTTAAAAAAAAATCCCTGCCATATCTATGTATTCTAGATTAAGAGTAATACAGTTTGCTTGCTCTTGTGACCACAAGAGGGAAATCAATGGTGAAAAAGAAAAAGAAAAAGAAAAAGAAAAAGAAAAAGAAAAAGAAAAAGAAAAAGAAAAAGAAAAAGAAAAAGAAAAAGAAAAAGAAAAAGAAAAAGAAAAAGAAAAAGAAAAAGAAAAAGAAAAGCACGTTGAAATGTGTTTACATTTTGTAACAGAAAATGAAAAAAAATATTTTCAGGGTAATTGGCTGCAGAGTATTGCTGAGTTCACTCAAAAGTCTGAGATCTGCTTGGAAACAGTTTCTTTATCCTTCAGTTATCCCGATTCCTCCAGGAGGTTTAGACTTTTTCAAGATTTAGTTCAGGAACAGCAGACCATGAGTACTCCCCTCCCTTAATTTTGTTAATATATTGTTAATTTTGACAAAATTGCAGATAACACTTTTTTTTTTAATTTAACTTCGAGATGTAAAATCTGAGCACAGTTTAGGTGGCAGCAGCAATGGCTAACTTTCTAAATGATAATCATGTTTCTATCGTTTGGATAATGAAATAAAACTGTTCTGGAAAGCGTCGTTTATACAGTCCAATCACCATGGCTAGGCTGTACAGGGGAAGCATTTTGTGCACAAGCAGCAGTCTCCTATAGACGAACAACTTGAAAGACACCACTTGTTATTCTGCCCTTTGCTCAGCCTCAACACTGCGGGTAAAGGCAGATCTGTTTGTCCGTGTTAGCTTAGGTATTTCATCATTTTATTTAATGCATAGCCGCCGGCTTCCGCGGCACTTGAAAAAAAAAAAAAGAAAGAAAAAAAAAAAAAAAAAAAAAAAAAAAGAGGGAGGAAGGAAAAACAGAAAGGAAAAGAAAGGAAAAGCAGTGTCGGGATCTCCGCGGCAGAGCCCGCCCCGGGGCGGCGCCGCACGTTGGCCGCGAGGCTCAACGGCCGCCTCGCCGTCGCTCTAACGGTCGCTAACGGCCGCTGCTAACGGCCCGCGCGGCCCCTCCGGATGCAGGGCGGGTTTCCCGCCCGGCCTCCCCCGCCGCCCCGGGAGCTTTACTGCAGAGCGGGCGATGGCGGAGGCGGGAGGGACGGGGCAAGGCAGGTGCTGAGGCACCAAAAATAAAAATGAAGAGGAAAAAAATAAATAAATAAATAAATAAATAAAAATAAATAAAAAAAAGGCAGGAAGCAGCCGTGGCAGGCGCAGCCGCGCCCTGGCGCCGCTGGCACCTGCGGCAGGGGCGGGCGGGCTGAACTACAAGTCCCTTCAGGCCGCGCGGGGCTTTGTGAGGCTGCGGCGCCGCCGCCATCGCCTGGCAACGGCCGCGGGGCGGGCCGGGCCGCCGCGCCGCTCTGTGCCGCGCGAGGCGGGAACGAGCACGGAGCGAGCGGAGCGGGCCGCGCTCCTCCCGCTGCCGCCGCCTCCTCCCGCGGGGCCGGCATGGTGGTGGCTGCCGCCGCACGGCCGCCTCGCTTAACCCGCGTCCCGGCCGCTGCCGCGGCGCCCCGCGGGCTCCTCTGCGGGCCCGAGTGAGTCAGCAGAGCCGCGCGGGCGCCCGGCCGCCGCCGCTGGGCCTGCCGCTCAGCGCGCGCCKCGCTCGGCGGGGCAGCGCCGCCGCCTGCGGGCCCCGAGGGGCCCAGAGCGTCAAAAGTTCCCGTTCCTGCTAAGTATGCGCTCAAGCCGTTGCTTTTAAGACGCATCTTTTGCTAAGCAAACCTGCGCATTCTCATGGAGAGCGGGTGGGGGGGCACAGCTGCAAGGCGCAGGCTAATGGGGAGCTCGCGGGCACGCTGGGGGCTCTCTCCCTATTAACCGTGTTACTCAATTAGGGGATAAATTCAGGCAGGTGTCTCCGCGGGAGATCCCGCACCGAGGTGGCTGCTGCAGGCACCAGCGTGTCTAGAGGTGAGGCCGCATCTCACATGGTGCTTGGAAAATGCGCCAGCGCTATGAAAGCAAAATTATTACCTCGTTATCTCTTGTTTTGCTGCTATCGATAGTTGGGTCGGCGACGGGAAAAGATTTGTTGAATGCAAATAGGCTGTAAAGTTGAAGTGGCGGTAAAAGAAACTGAAAGTGTCRCAAGGGGACAGTTCTACACGTGGTGAAGGGTGTTTTGGTCTGTTTCTCTGTAGATAATGGAGTCTTTCAGCTCTGGCAACGTTGCTGAGAGTAAAACGCCGTTGGCACAAATAAGCAGCAATCAGCATGAAAGCGAAGATGACGTTGAGTTCGTTGGAGTAAGTAGATCATGGATATGGGAACATAGTGCCCATAGTTGTGAATACTTTCTTAGTTGCAATATAAAATAGATTTGTTTCTTGTTTACTTATTTACAAATGTAATTATGTTTCAATGGAAAATACTGGTTTTGTTTTTGCAGGTGATTTAAATAGGAAGTCTTTGTGTCAGCAGGTTCATTTTAAAGCCTATTAATGGTTGTAGCTGTTTGGGTTTAGTTATTTGTTCAGTTTTGTGATCATATGGCATGACATTTTGCTTCATGAGTAGTCATGTTGAAATTAATGGGCTAAAGTCAAAAATGGGCTTGTCAAAAAAAAAAGGTCGAAAACACTGTATTTATAGCAGGAGGAGGAGGAAGGAAATAATGGGATAAAGGCCTCAAACAGTGTACTTGGGTACAGTGTAATAGCTGTGCTACAGCAGATATGTGTCAGCATGAAACCTAGAATAAGGCATGAGAAGCCCCACGTTTTGCAGCCTGTGTTCTGGCCTTGTTGCATCATCAGTGAAGTGGTGCCCACCTGCATGGGAGGGACACAGGCAGCAACAGAAAGATGATTTCCTGTAAGAACGAGGCAGGCAAATAAGACCAGGTACTTATATGATACCAGGACTGATAATGCCTGGCTTCCTATGGATTTGTGTTATTCTCAGTGGTGAATAGCAATGGACATTCATGGCGTTTTTTTGCACCTGCTCTAATGTGTGTATATATATATATATAAATCAGATCAGATTTATATATAATAAATAATACATAATATAGTCTGATATACAATATCAGATGTCGTATCTGATAAAGCCTAAATTCAATGTGCAGACTTTCCTTTTCCAGAGGCTTTTAAGAGCTCAAGTATGAGAAACATGTGCATGTTTTTGCTAATACTATAAGTAGTTGACTATATCTGAGACTTACCGGTCTTGTAGATAAATTTGATGGGCACTGACTAATGAGTTCAAAATTAATTGTCTATGCAGGCAACTATTCCTGTGTTTTTGCATGTAGCATGGCTGTATAAACTTCACTTTCTTAACACACAGGGCTAAGGCTGAGGAAGCTAATATACTTTTGGATGTGCAGTGGTTGAAAGGCTGGTATAGGAACCACTTAAAAGACAGAAGATTTATTGAAACCATCAGTCTGCTACTGTTTTTCTTGCTTTGCATATGTATAATCTGGATCTGTTTTGGGACCAGTGATGATTAATGCTGAGAGAGGCAGCTGTATGTAAAAGCAGTTTCTTAAGCTCRTTTCTGCAGGGTTGGACTCTGGGGGCAAGGATGGTACTGCTGTCATTAAATATAYGGGGAAAAGGTGTCCAAAATTTGCCATTACCTCATATCACCATGGACTCRTGCCCTCTTTTTGATCTCTCATTTATTCTTGCTATCGCACATCTCTAAGTGTGCATTTTGCAAAGATTTTCTAAACTATTCCCTTGCTTTAAATCATCATTTCAGTACAAGGTTTATATGTTCAGTATAAGTTCAGTACAAGGTTTGTAATGTACAAGGTTTATAAATATTGTACAAGAATGCTGCCCAAGCATTAAAGTACTGTTTTCTGCACATCCCAGGAACCCAGCACATCCAGGCCACTAGTGATACCGGATAGATTGAGTTAGGGAGGGCCATGTGGAAATCTCAGCCTACAGTCATTTTGCTGAGAGCAAATAGTTGTAGGTCACGTGCCCTCTGTGTTTCCCTCTTTCGTCAGTTCTGTATTTTCTGTTTTGTTTCTGCTGTTTCTGAACTGCTTCTTCAAAAGCAGGTGCTGCTRCTGCCGGAGTTTTGCACTTTCTACAGTCAGATGCACCCTCATTCATTCAGGAAACTTCCAATTATTCTGTCATAATTTCCTGCCCTTTAATTCTGCATTACAACATGTCTCATCCACTTAAAATCATTATGTTCAAACTTCACAGCAGAAAAAGGTAGTTGAATCTACAATGTGTGCCATAATGGCTTAATATCTTGTAACAGGATGTTCTGGACCTCATTCTTTTTACTGGGGAAGTATGAGGCAAAAATAAAGAGATTCACAAGTTTAATGTGGTTTATAGCTTGTTTGTAGACAGTTTTTTCTAGTTACCACTCTATATAGAAAGTGTCAGACTCTTAGATTTTCTCATTTTTTTAATAATGTTGATCTCTGCTAACATTTTTTTTCTTTAATGATGAGACCTTCTGAAAAGACAACCTCGTAAAACTGGTACCCGGTTTGAATGCRAGTTGATGAAAGCAAATGGCTGAATTCCTTGTGTGTGTTTTGAATCTTGCCTTCAGTTCAGGCAAATCTATTCCATGACAAATCATTAGCTTTCTTTTTTTACTTTTTTTAATTAAGCCAAATACGAGACTTTGTAAATAAAGGCTATTGTCTGAAAGACAAGTTTGAACAATATACTTAGTACTAAATATTCAGGTTAAGCTAGGTTCATGATATATAATGTTTACTTTGAAGCAAGTATTTGTCTAATGTATTGAAATGAAACTTCCTTCCGTAAACATGTTAARACGTGCTCTTATATAACCGCTACTCATTTCCAATGCTTCTTTAAGAAACATAATTTATCCACGAGGAAGTTAGAAGCTTTTCTAGGCAGGATTCTTCCTATCTTTGTTGCTGTTTGTGAGGCTCCAAAACGCTACACAATTCTATCAAGCATTTAATTATATTTGTCTAAAATAATGTTGCAAATCTCCCTGACCTAATCCCATAGGTTGTGTGTATAACCCATRTAACAGTTAACACTGTTAACTAGTGTATTTTCAAAGGCTGTTGCTCGCAGTTGTTCGTACTACTTAGAGAAGAAATAGGAATCTCTACTAGTTATCCTAAAAATAGTTACCCTGTGTAGAATATTTGTTTCACTAGCAGATAGTCACTAAATGCTTCAMGTTAGCAGAGGAGCATGATAGTGAAGTGGTCTAGCATTGGATGTGACAGAAAAATCATATGGCACTTTGTACAAAAAGAAATGCACCTTGAAGGGCTGGGGATGAACAAAAACAAGTGSTGTTACATACTGTGTTTCATCACCCTTGACAGCAAGACTGTAGTGGTTTTGTTTGGGATTCAAAATTTTAGGTGAACCTATATGAGTTTTTCTGTAGAGATCAAAAGAAGGAGTGTGATATGACAGCATGAAACTACCTTGCTCATAAAACTCAGAGGTGACCTAATTATCTCGAGTTACTGCTTGAACTTAGAATAAAGTTATCAGTCATTTGGAATGGCATAGAGACAGGAAAGATGCAAAAACTTTTTTAATATTTTATGGAACTGAAAGATCAGAAATGCAGGACTTGAAAGATGCAGAGAAAACAGAGCAGGAATCACTAAGAGCTGATGCTATTAAAACAAAGAGAACTGATTTATTAAAAAAGAAAAATTGGCGAAGGTCGTAAGGAACAAGAGCACTTTATATTTTATTCCTTTTACTTGTAGGGTCTCCCAAAACTCTAAGAACACTTGGCTCTAAGATAGACCAAAGTCAAGTGACTTGCTGAAACTTAGTAGTTACTTGAAGATTTTGTTTTGTTTTCTTTCCAAGAATTGTTAAATACTTGAGTTTTTATATTAATGTATCTCTCTGGCTTTCAGTAACATCACAGTAGGTACCAAAGAAAATTTTGCAAGTATTAAAAATTTTACTTCAAATTCTTCTTACCTTTGTTCCCAAATCAAATCAGCCAAATACTTACATTTTTGTATTTACCATATTGGAGAAAGGGAGGCTTTCTAAGTGCACACTGGTTTATAACTTCAATCAGTTAAAAACTGGCCTGAAATACTGAGTCTATGGGGACAAAAATTTAGAGCATAAATAATTCAGCATGGATCAGATTTTATATTTTAGTTTAAGCCCTACATGTTGGACAATATCCGGAAGATACGACAGTGTATGATTACATGTGTATATGCGTCTATGCTCACCTAACTATTTTGACAAAGACACATTAACTCAGTGGTATAGTACAGTAGTACACTGAAACTAGGTTTCATGCTTTCTATATGCAAGTATCTGTATAGTTATGCAAAAGTTAGAATGTGCTGTTTATGTAAACTAGATTCATAATCTGAATGTACATGGAGCTAAAAAATGGACAAACAAACAAAAGCTCCCAAGAAATGTCAGTGGGTTAGGTGGGGTATGCCTGCACAAGTAGCCCTCATTTCCCCATCAGAATGCAGCCATCAGGACTGTTACTGATGATTAGTGCCTGAGGTGAGGTAGGGAGGAAGAGATCAGGAAGGTGACCAGCAGACTCAGCTAATGCCACTGAACACAAACGTTAACACCTGAGGGGGGCTACGTGTGAAAAGTCAGCTTGGGCAGGGGAAGGAGCACACCCATCACGGGCCCACAGGTGGAATTGGTTTCCTGAGGAAATATGAAGAGCTGGATGAAGGTTACTTTTCCTCAGCTGCTTTTTTCCCATGGCGCTGAAGTGGAATCCTCAGCCTTGGTATTCTCTGTACTATGTTGCAGTTACCTTTGTATTTATTTGTTTGTCTAATTTTAAGTTTAGGGCTGGTCATGTGTGGAGGTTGAGCCAGAAGTACAACAATTAAATTTCTTCTGTTCAAAACTTTCCCATTTTGTTGTGATAGAACATTAATTGGGAATGATAACTAGTAGTTCCTGCTGTGCCTCCGGAAAAATGTTTCACCTGGCACTGCTTCTCCAAGTGAGCTCAAAAATATAGAAAGTCTGTCTGAAGTTACCCACATCAACTTATGCAGTTGCTGAATAGATTTACTGACTACAGGATTGCACTGTGTGTACCCTGATTTTTAAACTTTCTCAAAGCATCTGTTGTAGCCCCGATGAATTTTTGATCTGACCCAGGACAGTAGTTCTCACACTTTTAATTTCAATATAGTTTTTAAAGATTTCATTAATTTTTCTAAAATTTAACCCACCAGCCAGTGAAGAACAAGCTAGCCCAAAAGCCTAACTTGGGGGTTTGCCATATTCAGGAGCATATATAGAGAGGTCACTTATTTTCCATATTTTACATCTGTAGTCAGATATCTTGTATATCTTCTTGAAAAGTCATTTTAAGAAGTTGCCACATTGCATTTGTGTTTAAACTGGAATGCAGTCCAAACAACAACAAAAAAGGGGCTGTGAAAAGTTTTCAACTAATGTTACACAATACAGAAGGAAAAGGTTAGCATGTGTTTCATGTATTCAAATGATATTATTTGAATTCAATTGAATTTACTTCTTCGATCACTAAAACCATCCAAACTTGCATGCAAATTTCCCTGTGTTTCAGCTCTATTTCCTGGCTTTTAATTAGCTATTTGTTGAACTGAACCGAATTAGTCAAACAGAAATTAGGAAAACTTRCGTATACTTGAAGAAACTGTAGCTATTATAATCAGACCTGAACATTCTGCAGCTGCTTATTTAACTACTTGGACAATCAGATGGGTTGAGGTGGTTTTTAAGTTGTCACATAACACCTGCTATTTCTAATACACATTTAATATCTTGTAAATTTACAAGATATCTTGTAAGTTCCTATAAAACCAAATCTGCCTTAGAATTTTTAGATTTCATTTATAAAAGCAAATTCTTTTAGTTTRTTTAAATGTTTTTTTTTAAAAAAGGCCTTCCTATGGGCCAATTGGCAGTCTGCACTTCTGTTCCTAGAAGCTTTCATTACTGTCTACTGTCTTGTTACTGCCAGTCTTCAAGAATTCAGTAAGTTGCTGAGTATCTTCAGACCTTGTTTTGTGTGAAGAATTTAACTTGCTAAAATGCATATTTCTAGACTATATAGCAGTTCTAGTGCATCCATCAGCACCATCACCAGATAAAAAGCTCATTCTGCAGTCCAGTGAAATACTTCCCATGCAATACAATCTATGTAATGTTATGCAAACTTAAGCAGAAAGAAAAACCTAAAATCATATTTGTTCTTGACTTATTTGCTTTGATAGCAGACAATAACTTTCAGACTCTAGTAGAGATGGGAAACTTATTACAACATGTGGAGATTTCAGATGACTTAAWTTAACTAAACTTAAGTCAACTTTAGTTGATYTAGTTGGTCTTACTGCGTAGTTGCCACGAAAATGAGGCAAACATAGTTACCCGGAAAGATGGGTAGCCTCCTAAGCAACGACCTTGGATGTGAATCAGAGTAACTGGAAATATTCTAGCTTGGTGTATGTGGAGCTGCTCATCCTATTTCATGTTCATTGTTTGACTTGTTTAGTTGACATGTGTTAATAGGTTTTTTTGTATGACGTTAGACTGGGGCACTTGAGAAGGGGACAAAAGACAGTGAATAAATCTCCCAGAGGAGGGATGGAATGGAAAAATCTTACTAGGAAGAGTGCAGAGGATGTCCCTGATAGCCAGGGTCCTTCGTCCTCTGTGGGGCTCCAAGGAGCCCGCATGAGGCTGCCTGGGTGTCTCAGTGCTGAGCAGGCTATTTGGGCACAGGTCATGGTGCTCATGACTGTGTCATTATTAGCATGAATGAATGAAAAGTGATTTCTTTTAAAGTGAAATTGCCTTCCCTTTCTGTTATGATTTAAAAAAAAAATGACCTTCTTGTGGACTCTGCTTAAAAATGAATGGGCTTTAGGGTGAATGTGTGTGTGTGTATATACATATATGTATGAGACTGTTTTCTGCTTTCTTAATGTCTGAAGCTTTTAAGGAGTCCACTTGCTTTTGGAGTTCGGCATCTAATTTAAATTGCAACTTCATAAGCTAAAAACATTTAGCTTTGGTTAGTGAAATCCAAGACTATTCCAACCTTGGTGGCAGTCTGACACCCTAGTATTTTTGAAGAAATGGTGAGAGCATGAGGAATATACAGCTATTGATCAGGACAAGATTGTTCTCGTTATTTTTGCTAGTTTATATTGGGTATGTTAAGATGTTGTTTTATTTGTTTGTGGATATTTATTTGTACATTTCACTTGTGTGTGAGCCTTGTACATGCAAATGTTGTGCTGTAGGATGCGTGTCAACAAACCCTGTTGAAACAGTGTTGAAATTCTTTTGGATGTTGTAATGCGTGTATCAAGAAAAATCTTCAAGAAAAAATAATTCGATGTTTTTTGTGTGTGTTGTTGATGCTTCTTTAGGAAGGACCTTTAAGACCTGTACTTGAATGCATTGATCTTGTGAGCAGTGAGGACGAAGAACCTAACAGCAGTTCTTATGCTCATGTGAGTATGCCATAATGTGTCTTGGGACTCTTCATTTGAAATAAAGCATAAATACCACCTCATGTATATTTACCATCAGCCACTCTTCCTGAAAAATGTTGGAGATATTTTGAGGAAGTAATAAGTCAACAGCTAAAAATTGTATTTAAAAATTTGTAAGTTAGAAGCAGGCTGGTCATCTCCAGGACAGCTGCTGCATTGCTCAGGCTGCTGGTGCCCTCCAGGGCTTTCATGAGGGTTGTGATGGGGCAGAGGCTGTTTGGGGCTGTAAGCAGTGGCCCTCTTGTGATTTGTTTGGAACCGTGGTGCAGGAGATGATGTGCAGTAAGCCTAGTTTTAGCAGAAAAACAGATCTGTGCATGCACAGATGCAGGCTGTTGTACTGTGACTCACTGGAGCTGGTTGGGCTGCAGGAGCAAGCTGCRGTGTCTGTTCTGTGCCTCATTCTAGAATAAGCTAATGGCTGGGCACCATTCCATAGYGGATCTCTAAGGAACTGAGTTGGAATGGGAATTATCAGTTCTCAATTTCCCATGCAGGCTGTAGGTTGGCTTTGAAGTCTTTTGGAATTTTTAACACAAAAAGGAAAATAATAAATTCTTATATATGTATTTTTTTTTAATCTGTTTGAGCCTTCTTGCAAATGCAACACAATCACTGCTCTCTCTTCTAGTGCTTTGGCACAGTAACGTTGTTGATCTTGCACACCTAGAATGTGTGAGGGGTTTGTTTATTTTTCTTTTTTACATAAACTACTGTTACTGAATTGAAATTGAAGATTGTCAAGGTAGCTCATGGAACACAAGACTGGAAGACAGTATGTGGACTGAATTACGTCCTGATGCTTGGGTGTCGCTTTCAACTGCATTAATACCTGTTAGTTGCCTAGCAGTTACCAAATAAGACTTTACCTTTTCAATTGTAGAGAAACATTAAACGTAAAGATTACCTKGACTATCAGAAGGAAAGGGTTGCCTCGACCTTGGATCGTCTGGCACGCCATGTTGAAGTAGAGAAACAGCAAAAAGAAGAGAAGAACAAAGCTTTTAAGGTACTGCAGCTGTTTTGTTTCAGTAGAAGTGCATAGTACCAGCCTTTGCAGTTACGTGCATGCTTTTTTTTTTTACTATAAAGTGAATTAAAAGTGTGGGTTTTTTTTTTTTTTTTTAATTCCCATGAGTGAGCAAGATCAGGAGCTTGAAATTAGAGATCTTTACTTCTGGAGCACTGAGTGAAATATAATAAAGACCGTGCACGTTCAATGCCCTTTAGTTAATGAATTCACTAGTCTCGTTACACTTCCTAGAGAATAATTACTAACCTCATGCAAGCAAGCAGCAAAAGTTTATTTCCTTGTTCAGGTACATATAGAGTGGCCTTAGCATGAGTGATCCTGGTGCTTCAGTAACCAAACAGAAAAATGGTAGTGGTCACAACCATGCAGCACACTTGAAATAGTCTGCCTGCTTTTGTCTGGCACTGTATGCAGGACTAGATTATTGGAATGCTTTTGTTATTAAATCTCAATCTCTGTATCAGGTAGTATTTTTGTAGTGGGCATGCTGTCATTTGAAAGGTAGGGATTTGTAGGCCCAAGTGGATGCAGTTCAGAGCAATGTAGTCTGATCTCGTAGATGAGCCTCCCTCGAGCAGGAGGTTGAGCTCACTTTCCAGAAAGTGCTTCCCAGAAAATGTGTTGACTTGCTAACCAAAATTGCTGAACCCTATTAATAACCATTACAATAGGCCACATAATTATAGTGGTTACAGGCTATTGTAACTGTAAAATTAAGGCGGGGGGCAGGGGGGAAGGCACAAGAAGGTTGTCAGATACAGTGCAATGAAGCCTTGGAGTGAAGACCCCTCCATTCCTCTCCTGTCTCTGCCACTCAGAATCCAGCAGATTTGTTAGTACGTCCACATAGAGCTTTCCAGCTGTGAAATGGAAGAGCTAGTTGTGTAGCTTTTCAAATAACCTGAGAGTAAACTATTAATAACATTTCCATAAATGGTGAATAATTTGCATCTATGCAACTCCTCGCTCCTCAGCAAAAGATAATAGCAGAGTTAGAGTGAAACTGCTGGGTTTCTTGTCTTGACAGTAGATAGAGGTTTGATTTCAGTACCCATATTTTATATTAGGGTTTTTTTGTATTCTTTCTTCAAACTTTCTAGCTCCTCTCATGATAGGATGAATTATCATGATGCTAAGTCTTTATTAATCTGCTGTCTCTACTGTATAAACCCTTGCATTGCCTTTCTCTGCATCACGGTCACAGCTAGAGGAGGTGCTAGGAGGAGCTCTGCGGATGCCTCGGACTGAGCTGTGCACCAACTCACTCAGTCTGAGTTGGGCACTTTCCCACTGCTCTGGGACTTTATTAGTGCCTCATAGCCTGGTAGGGAAGGTAAATTGAGATCATGGGATTTTCCACAGAAAATAACATCTTGTTTTGGAAATCCAACCATTTTGGAGGATTTTGCCAGACTCATCTTCAATTCTCAAAAAGAAGATTGTGCTTTCCCACTTTGAAAAACAAATCATTTGTATTACCGAGCAAGTGAAGGTTTTCCTTTTTTATCCCATCTTTTGAGGTGTGCCCCTTAATCTGGCAAATCAAAAGCAGAACATCTTATTAAGCCTTATCCATTTTTCAAGATACTCATAGGGAAGAAGACTTGACAGTGTTCCAGAGTTGTCATAAACGAGTAATTTTTGATTTTGTGGATATTTCTATCTCRCAACAGAAATAAGAGGTTAAAACTAGTCAGCTTTTTACTGGAAGAAGAATATTCACCTGATATCCTGAAAACTGAGGAAAAAGGGTGTTTTAGAAATTGTTTTGAAGTTGCCTTTTTAATCACAAGGGGAAGTCCTGTAGCTGCCCATTTATGTCACTTGTTTAGTGCACAGTGTTAGGCTTCATTACAAGGAGAATCGTTTTCCAGCTTGTGCCTCCCGTTTACCTGGAGAGCGAAGCTTCTCCAGCTTTGGAGGTGAGAGGCAGTCTGTGTGTCCAGCCAGCATTGGTCTTGTTCAAATGGCAACTGTGTGTCCCTCATAGTTGCACCACTGAGGACTTGCAAGGAGGTCTGGCATCCTTTCTGTGCACAGCACATCGTTTAAGGCAAGAGGGGAGTCCATTGGCATTCCTGGGGCTGTGTTTATTCCTTCAAATGAACCAACATGTTTTTTAATGAAATGATTCCCCTGCCAGGCTTTGTCGCTTGGCTTCCTGACTGTAAGAGAAGCCCTCCAAACTTTCTTGGAGTCCAAACCCAAAATAAAACAGTCCCCTTTGATGTAGACTGCCTTAGKTTGCATTGGAGGAGCTTTTTTCTAGAGCTTCTTGCAAGAATCTAGCAGCAAGGGCAGCAGTTTTTTTTCTAATAACAAAGAGTAATTTTGCTTTGGGAGGAACRATGCCAGCAGGTCAAGGGAGGTGATTCTGCCCCTCTACTCAGCTCTGGTGAGGCCGCACCTGGAGTATTGGGKGCAGTTCTGGGCTCCCCWGTAYAAGAGGGACGTGGAGCTTCTSGAGAGGGTCCARAGAAGAGCAACCARGATGATTAAGGGAATGGAACTTCTCTTGTACGAGCAGAGGCTGAGTGAGCTGGGCCTGTTTTCTCTGGAGAAGAGAAGGCTGAGAGGGGATATGATTAACATGTATAAGTTCAGGAAGGGAGAATGCAGGGAGGAGAGGGCCAAGCTTTTCTCAGTGGTGGCCAGTGACAGGACAAGGGGAAATGGGTGCAAACTGCAAYACAGGAGGTTCCATCTCCATATGAGGAGGAACTTCTTCCCTGTGAGGGTGACAGAGCCCTGGAACAGGCTGCCCAGGGGGGTTGTGGAGTCTGCTTCACTGGGGGTCTTCCAAGCCTGCCTGGATGCCGCCCTGTGCTCTGGGTGTGCCTCCTTGAGCAGAAAGGTTGGACTAGATGATCTCTAGAGGTCCCTTCCAACCTTTAAGATTCTGYGAGCTTGTACCTTGAAAAGGTGCTGTAAGAGCTGGGGGCTTGCAGCACAACAAGGCAAACTGTGGCCGCTTGAGCCTTTAGGGTAATATCTGTGACCATGAATGTTTTTTTAAATTAAACTGCAGGGGGGTTTATGTCAAGGTGAGTTTAACTGAAGTTCATGGTAAGACAAGTTTTAATAATTAGTTGCTAGGCAGGTGTAGCTATCTGCAGAATTAAAAGGGCTCTTCTACTGGATGTGYAGGAAGGGCAAAGTTTATTCCTGCCCTGAGCAGGAACACAGCTGAACTCATTTGGAAAGTGCACAAAATGATGGATGAATAAGGAGAGATGCAGTTAACAGAATCATCTTGTTTAGTCTGGGATTATTTATTCTACGCTATTTTTAAACATGTTACCTGGTCTAGCTGGCTGTCTATGGGTCTCAACTCTAATAATTCAGTTGAGAAATTGCAGTTTAGCTTAGCCTCACAGAGCTAAGCTGGTGCGCTCTTATGAAGTCTTGCTGTGTAGGAGATATCTATACTGTAGGTATATAAAGGTGCCATAGGCTGCTCCTAAGCACTGCAGGCTCTCTCTCTCTCTCTCTCTCTCTCTCTCTTTTTTTTTCTCTTTTCCCCTCCCCATAACATACTAGGGACACCTAATTATTGTCTGAAGAATACTTGGAATATTGAATTGGAAATGACAGGAAAAAAATCTTAGCTGTGACCAGTAAATCTCTGTCTTCACGCTGATCTTTGYCATTTAAAAATAGGTAGCAAAACTTGCTGTGTTGTATTATAATGAGTAGCCAGTGTTTCTTTGAAGTGAACAAGCTTAAAAGGCTGGAAAAATATACTCTTCATCTTCCACTTTCAAGCTGGTTTTGCATGAGGATGCTCAAGATGGGTATTTGTAGCGCTCTGAAAGTAGTCTTTAGCAAGAGGCTGTCATGTCTTGTGAAACAGGCACGCTTTCTTCCTGAGAAAATCATTAAAAACGGCAACATTTTTAATGTCAGAGGAAGCCCTTTCTTAAAATAGCTGTGAAAAAGTGACACTGTCTACTGTGTCATTCAGATGTTACCTAAAATAGGTGAGGGGAGAAGGAATTAACTACTGTATCACAGCAATAAGAACATTATCTCTTGTTCTTTCTTTACCATTCTGCTTCAGCTCATTATTTTCCCATTTCATGCTGCTAGCTGTAATTTTCTTATTCTTGTCTGCTGTGATGTCCAGACAGCTTCTTCACCATCTCCTTTATGGAACAACATCCCTAGGTGAATTGCTGCTTCTCTGCTTTTACCCCCGCCAAAAGCCAGGTGGTCAGCACCTTGTCTGGAGCCTGTGAGTGAAGCCCATGGAATATTGAAACTGCTGTTTTAGCACTGGGGACGTGTAGCAGAGGAGCCTTCTCAACCAATTTCAGCTTTTAAAATACTTTTTCCTAAAAATTGCTGTTTATCTGTGTTGCTTTAGTACAAAAAAGCAATTTTTTGGTCACTTGCTGTACTCTGAGKTCTCCCTGTGTTTGTACCTTCTGACCTTAGTGTTTGGTTACTGTTACTAGTAACTTAGGCTCTGGAAGAGGTGCTGGTGCCAGGCATTAAAGGCAGGAAGGAGTCGGGTAGTTTGTGTTGCTCTTACCCTGCGTATCTCAAGTTTTCTTCTTTGAATTAGTCCTAGCTCTAGGTCTCTCTGCAGCATGTGGGTGTTTGGAAGTGTGGTGCTTATATTTGAGATATTTAAAGGTGTTTCTGTTGTGTGCTTTTAGGTACTTTTTCTGATCTGATTCCTTTTCAGGAACTACAAATGTTTTAAAAATATATATATATTTATATATATATATTTATATATACATATATAAATATATACATATATAAATATATATATAATAAATATATAAATATATATTTATTTATATTTTATATAAATATATATTTATGTATATATTTTATAAATATATATTTTATAAATATATATATTTTATATATCTGGGATTGTTCAGACAATAAGTGGACTGTAGCTTTACTGCCCTGGCCCGTAACAGATAGCATACTGTATTTTTGCTAAAGCAGTAAGTACTTTTCTAAGTGAGACACATTTTTCTCCCGCCATTTTCATACTTTTTGATTCTTTGACCTGTCAGTTAGGCAGAATTTCCCTAATGCTGCACACAAATTGAGGTGCTCGCTCTTTCCCACAGTGTGTCTTGTAATGGCATGGCAGTGGATATTGGCATTGAGGTGGGGAAGTGGCCTTCTGGAGAAATAAAACTACTTCTGTTTCATCGGTGGTGTTCGGTAGCTGGAGTCGTCTTGGGGTGCACACACCATAGTTGCCCTTCATCCAGCAGAGAGACAGGAGCTAAAGTCATGGTAACTCAGGAAATATGGGAAATGATTTTCTGTCTGCAGTTTCTACTGCGTTTTTTTCCATATAAACAAATCACGTTTTATGACAGCAGGAGCAGGCTGCTGCCAAAATATTAGGAAAAGCCTTTTCTTGTTATCTTTTGTTCCATTGTTGTTTGTTTCTTTTTATAGTCTTAAAATTCTTCTTGGTTATGCGTGTGCTTCAGAAACTACAGGTGTGTCAGAACTAACTTGCTTGACTCTTGAGTATTTCTGACAGATGTTGTATAAAAATATATAGCTAGAAGATGGTGTTTCTGTGCACTGGGCTGTCGATATGAAAACTTCAACTGTCTTTTGTTATTTTTCTCAGAATTTGGATGCAAGGCAGATGTTATTTCTTTATCTTCCAATATGGCCTGTCTAGTTAAGTTACATTATTTAGGGAAGTGCCTGTGAAGATGCTCACTGGGAGATGCATTTTGATTGATGGTGATATGGCTGCAGACTTTCTTTCTGTATTGTCGGTACCAATGTTGATAATGAGGAGAGAAAATAAAAGATTTCTTTGCCTGATAATGCAACAATCATGTTTTAAGAACTATAGCTTTCATTGAGGACTTAAAACACTTTTTTTTTTTATAGTTGTTACTTCATAGCTGCTTCTATAGTTATTATTGCATAGCTACTTTATTCTATGTATATTGAAAAAAAAAAAAAAAAAAAGTGTTTTATAGTTGTTACTTCATAGCTGCTTCTATAGTTATTATTGCATAGCTACTTTATTCTATGTATATTGTTTTATATGCAAGTCAGTCAGATGGTTCTATGGTTTCTTCCTTAAGGTGGTGGTATTTTTGGTTTTATTTTCTCTCTAGAGATTCATATGTAAGTTTTGAAAGGGTAACTTCATATGCATACTTAGTCTTGATTTTTGCCTAATATGTTTGCTGCTGCAGGAGAAAATTGATTCCCAGTATGCTCATGGACTGCAAGAACTAGAATTTATTCGGGGGCACAGTGACACAGAAGCTGCAAGGTTGTGTGTGAACCAGTGGTTAAAAATGCCAGGTAATAAAAGGAATAATGAGGTTTCAAGTCCATAATGAGAGACCACAGATTAATGATAAATACTTTAGAGGAGTAATGAGCATTCATTCACATACTTTGAAACTAGGTTTAAGTGATACATTTTCTAAGTGAATGTTAATTCACTTGGTAGTGATTTTTTCCAAGTGCTGCACTGCTGAATGGGATGTGCTGTTGCTTAATAAACTTAATACACTTAGTATAAAGATAATGTCAACTGCTTTAAACAAGCAAAATTGCTAGGTGGAAAAAATATTACTATGTAACTAACTGTTSCTCAGGAAAATACTGTTGTAAAGAAGTATAATTTCAGGATCACAGACTCGATCTAAAATACTGCCACTGAATACAGCACCTTTAGTAGGAAACATCATTATCATGCATGAATCTGGGGGAAGGTTCTCCAAGTGTTAGAAATCTGATCGTGCTAGTGACTGAGAACATAGAGGCTTTGAGTGAAAGTGGCCTGTAGAATTGCCGTGCGTATCATTGCTAGTGTGCTTTGAAGAATGAGTGTAACCTGCATTTTAAGTCCTTCAGGATGTAACTTTCTAAATGCCTCTGTAATTGATATTCTGTTTAAGGGCTCTGCTTTATAAYACAGGTCTCAAACCAGGCACCATCAACAGTGGAAGAAGAGGGATTTGTCAGAGGACAGGTCAGACGCCGAGCAAGAGCAGTCCAATTTCTTGTCCTGTAATGAACTGTAACAGGAAGTTTGATAATGGGCACCTTCTCCTAGGCCACTTGAAAAGGTAAGGCTGTAGACCTTAGATCTCAATGCTAGAAATAAGTTCAAGAATATTCTTTTATTATTCAGACAACTGTATTGAGTCTGTCTTAAACTGCCTGCAGTAACACATTTCCATTTGGAGAGAAGATAAAGCTTCTAGGAATTTTATATTTATTTTTATTTATATTACATAAATTTATATATAGATATGATATCTGATTTATATATAGATGATATGATAGGATGATATATATGATGATCTTTGCGTTCAGAACTTGATTTCTTCTTCTGGTGAAGCATTTTTACTATCTGCTTTTTATAACGAGCAAGATTGCTCTGCTCTGGCTATGTCAACTTTCCATCCAAATTTGAAAAAGAGCAAAAAGTTAATCTAAAATTAATTGCCTAAAAGCTGTATGAAATCTGACAATAGGATAAAAAGTATGCCCTTAAAGCGGGGAAAGTTGAGCAGAGAGAAGCCATTGGTAAGCCAGGTGTCCAGAGCTGATTGCTGCACTTAGTGTTTGAGTCAGCTCCATCAGCTTTTCCCTAGTAAGCAGATCATGAAGAAATTGTGGTTTCATTAGTCCTTTTGTTTTTAGAAATGGTTTTAATGCTCTGCAAATTCAATAACAAGCTCCAAGAAGAATCTCCTCTGTACGGGATGCTTCAGCTAATATAGCTGATGTTAGGTGAAGTTAGCTGAGTTTTACAGTTGTCACTGGTAGACTGTTTCCCAAGGACTTTGAAGGACATATTTTTTTCCCTCTTAGAACGTTTTGACTATGTGGAGGGGGCTAGTCTGTTCATTATTTTTTCTTCTGCAGGTTTGATCATTCTCCTTGTGACCCAACAATTACACTACATGGACCTCCAAATAATACTGTTGCCTGTGTGGTATGCTGCAAAAAATTTTCAACCCCTCAGCAGTACAGTGATCATCTTTTTTCTAAGGCAAGATCACCAAGTTATGCATAGTCTTTCCCCCTTTAATCCTTTTCTTCTTCCCCCATTCATTCAGTCTTCTTATTTCGCTGTGTTTCAAACACTTGGGATATCCTAACAGTATTCGTATAAAATGTGACCATTATGTTGTACTCCATGGTTTATTCTGAGAGGGCTGTAGCTCTGTCTTGAACTTTTTGTCGGTAGGACAAAGGGTATTGGTTGTTGTCAGAAAGCGTTTCCTTTTTTGCTTTTCTTCTTTCTGTTAATTATACTCTTCACCTGGTTCTCCCTTAGGTTCTTAAGGTGTAAAATTTCAGTTTAGTGAAAGATGCTTAGATGTTATCTTCAGGGACCTTTATTTAGCAGCCTGCTGGTTAAATGAGTAATGGACAGCAGTTTCCAAGCTGAGTATTTTAGTCACCAATCCACACGTGGACCCGTTTAGCCTATTAAAAGCAAGGCAAGTTTTAGATGCTCTTAAAATCAGGCTGCTTTCAGCTGATTCATGTTCATACCTCAAGCTTGACAGCTTATGCTACAGTTTGTTCCTGCTTTTTATCCATTTCTTTCAGTTGCAAGGACCTGAACAGGAGTGACTAGACATGTTTGGTGAAAGGAGTAGCTCTTGCAGCAGGCATAAGGATAGGATAATATTGGTGTAAAAAGATGAGGAGATGATGCAAGGCTGTGTTGTGGGAGAAAGCTTGTCAGGAAGCCTTTTGGGGGAGAGGTAAAAGGAATAAGCAGAAGCAGAGTGTCCAAAGCAAGGCCAGAGGGTTTCTGCTGTGAAGGCAGAGACTTACAGTTAGTGTAGAAGGTGAAGAAGGGTGCAGGGAGTAAGGGAGAAGGGATTTGAGATGTACAGGACACTGGTAAGGCTCACAGCTGCTCTGAGGAGTGACATTTTGAGAATATGGAGGTGAGAAACACCAGTGAAGAGACAACACAGCGTAGCAGGAAAGCCTTTCTGTTGTAGTGACAAAAAGAAGACTTCTACAGAGAGGCATCTCAGAGGAGCTAGGTAAGAACTGGGGGCTCAGTACAGTCATTCCAAGGAAAGTGTGGTTGTGGTGGTGCAGGGGAAGGGAACGGAAGACTGGTCAAAGCAGCAAGGTTAAGAACTGAGTTAAGGGAGACAGGTTGTCCAGTTTCCTCTGTCTCAAACTGAGCTTTGTAGCTGTAGGCTGTAGCTAAACATAGATGGGGTAGCTGAAGTCCTCATAGAGTGGAATACTGCTGTGGAGAGAAAGAGGAAGGGAAAGATGTGGAGGGATGGGACCGATCTGTTGCCTTCACATTTTCTCTAACCTAGACCTTTGTGTTCCAGCTGAATGAAAATGATGGACATAAAAAAGATCTCCCTCCCCAGCTTATCCAGTGCTAYGCGTGCCCAAGCTGCTTCCTCCTCTTCACCCGAAGAGACGAGTGCCTGCAGCACATGTCTGCAAAGAACCACTTCCTCCATTTTTTTAAACTGAGTGGTATGTTGCAAGCTAAGTGTATTGATAATGGATCCTGACGGAGTGAAATAATTTACGTTTTTTTCTGTTCTTTTCTTAAAGAAAAGCTTTTAATATGTTCTTGATATTTTTTTCTTGATCTTATACGTGACTAAGTTCTGTAGCTGTTTTTCAAGTCATGCTTCTATGTATCGTTGATTCTCTATTACAATTGACAAGCAGGCTTCTTCTCCCCATACTGGCAGCTATCTCACATAGGGTCACTGCAGGCTGAGAAGCTTATGTGATCACTGTCCTAAACAGCTTTGTACTTGACTTTGGGTTGAAAGGAGCACAGAGTGAACCACGCAAATATTTCTTGTGAATCTAGCCAGGATGTCTCTGCCCCCTGGTGTCCTGCCTGGAATCTGTGGCAGGTTATTTTCCTGCCCTGTGTTTTTATCACACCCAATGGAAAAGACCTGTGAGAGTTTCTCTCCATGGAAGAGAGTCKTGCCCAGGCTGCTGAAGGCTGAGCCGTTGGCTCTGCTGCGAGCTCGTAGCCTCCTGGCTGCTCTGTATGAGATGACCCAGCTGATGTGTGAGCATCATCTTGGAAAGCTGTCAGGGGCCTGTCAGGCTGCATTACCAGCTGTACTGACTGCCTMGCTTTGACGTGAGCAGTGAGTATTAAAGCCTTTGGTTTAATGTCAGGTACATCTCTTAAAGAGGTGAGATGTAAGTGGAGTTGACTTCTTACTTAAACTGTTGCCAGTATTTCAGATACTATAGCTTGCAGGAGAGACCTCTGTGGCCAAAAGGATTTGTGTAGCTGATGTTCGTGCCAGCGCCACTTCCCTCCCTCACAGCATAAGACAGAAAAACAGGTTTTGAAGGAACCTTCCTGCAGTTTGACTCTGGGCTGCCCCACTCACAGAAGTGACAATCAGCTGCCCCCTTCTGAGTTTGCTTGCCTATTTGAACTCTAATGGACTTCTATTTCAAATAGATTAGTAAAAGATTGCGGTTAGAAAAAGKTAGAGAGGTGACCTCCTGCTGTGAAAAGACTAAAACAGACAGCAGTTTTCTTCAATGATGGATAGCATTTAGCCACACAAAGAACAAAATATAGAAGTGCTCCTTTTTTTCCATTTACATTTTTAGGACCYCATGAATTAATATCATCATAGACTAATCATAGACTAATATCATCATAGATTCAGAGAATTTAAGTTGCTTAATGCTTTACAAGGGAGTCCTCTGCCCAGAACCTGTAGGAGGAAGAGAAGGGGAGTAAATCACTGACKGAGGAGAAATGAGGTGCTGCCATTCAGACATGGGATTGTTTCACCCATTAGTGCAGTTTATTGATGAAGAAATGAATTCCAGGTTGTGAAATTTAATGTGGTTTTACCGCACAGCAAGCGTGGTTCAGATGGCATGGGGTGACTTGATGTGTGAGCCCTGCCTCTGAAGCAAAGCAAGAGCGGAAACACGCCGTGAAAGGGCCTGTTAATCCCAGCTCACTCTTTCTGCCCTTCCCTGTCACAGACGAAGCGAAAACCGGCGTCCCTCTCCCGTTCCCATCCTACGCCAAGAAACTCCTGGTATCGCTGTGCAAAGAGATCCCCTTCCAGGTGAAGTGCATATCCTGCCACCAGATACTGCGCTCGCACATGGAGTTAACAGCTCATTTCAGGTTTGTGAGAGACAAGGTCTTCATGCTGGGAACTACTCGTAGGGCGATAGYGGTGTTTTCAAGGAGGGACACCCAGGGGAAGCCGTCCCTCAAGCAACCTCCTCTCCATGCATTTCCTTTTCCACATGATCCACTGGGGAATGCTGATCACTGTTCATATCATTTTTTGTTCGTTTCTGTAACAGAGAACAACAGAACTTTCTTGGTCTCTATACCAATATATTTCAGCTGTCAGTGTTTAGTTTCTAAAATATATTGAATGACCAATGTGCCCCATCTTGGGGTAGTTTTGGAACTACAACTATCAGCTTTGGAAACTGACACCTTGTTCTTTCTGAGACTCTCAAAGAATTCTCTTTCAGAGATTTAGGTAGTTGTTGGGCATTATATATTTTTGTTGACAGCTTAATAGGCGAGCTAAAGTATCCAGGGGACACTATTTTCACTCCCCAATTGCAGTAGGTACTGGGAATATTTTGAAGTACCTCTGAGATTCTTCAAGAGTTCCAAGTTCTGATATAATTTATTTTTTCCTTCAATCCATTCTAGAACACGGTGTCGCAGTTCTGGCCCCATGGCCGTGTCGAAGAAGAGCGTCTCCCAAGTTGCAGAAATCTTTAAAACCAAAGGTCACTGTGAGAACTGCGATAGACTCTTTGCTGACGATGATCAGATCATGCAGCACAAGCAGAACACTCAACATAGAATTAAGGTTATTGCCACAATGGAAGAGTCCATCTTGACRTTCTGTCACATCAGTGAAAAAAATAAAAATCCGTCCCATTTGCGGCATATCGTGGATCGCTCCAGGCCGCTGCTGAAAAGACCTTTGGACTCGAGGGACTCCAACACTGAAGGGGGATCTACTCCTTCGAAAAAGAGAAGTGATTTAAACGGTAAAAGTGAAGGTCCCGGAGCAACGCCGAGCCCTGGTGGCAAGGTGAAAGCCTGGTTCTGTGAATGCCTGCAGAAGTTCCTCACGGAAGAGGCGGTGGAGAAGCACATTCTGGCAGCAAACAGAATCTGCCACAAGTGCGCGGTGTGCGGGAAGCTGGTGGAGAACTCCAGCATCATCCGCCTGCACATGAGCCGCTTCCACGGCGGAGCCCACCTCACTAACTTCCTTTTCTGGTGCAGAGCATGCGCTGTAGATCTGCCCAGAGAAGAGGATATTATGGGGCACGTRACTGAATTCCACGGTGGACACAGTTACTATTATGAGCAGGAAGCTCTGGAAGAGGAGCCYGTGCCCTCCGCTTCTGGCACAGCGTGCGGCTCCTCGGTGGAAAGGCAGGACTGTGTTGCCAGTCCTGGGGACCTGTCTCCCGAAAGGGGCCCTTTGCTGGGCCAGTGGCAGTGCCACATGTGCGAGGAGATGTTTGCCTCCGAGGAGAGCGTGAAGCAGCACTGCGCGTCCTTGGAGAGCCACGCGTTCCACAGGTACTGCTGCGGCACGTGCCAGAGCCGCTTCCGGAAAATGGAGACGCTGCAGCGGCACTGCCAAGAGCGCCACGAGCGCCACGTGGACGTCAGGTACTTCTGTGGCCTCTGYGGCGATCTCTTCTTCGACGTGGAGGAGGGATTTCTAGCTCATTACAGGGAGCTTCACAGCACGGACTACGCGTTTGTGCCTGAGCAAATGGAAGTCTCGATAAAAAAGGAAGACGACTTCCTGCCGGTGGAGCAAGGAGACTGCTTAAGCTGTGGCTGCCGGACAACTTACATCTCCCGAGTGAACAGGAGGAACGATTACACGAGTTGCCAGAAGGTCTTGCTGCAAAACGGCAGCTTATGGTTTCGCTGCCGCTTCTGCTCCACCACGGCGCAGAATTTGGACGACTTGAACAGGCACCTGGGGAGCCACCCGTCCGTGAAATGCGACGAGGAGATGTACGTTGTCCGATGCGCCACGTGCAGCAAGAACTTCCAGGACCTGCCCAGCGCCCACCAGCACTACCACATGAAGCACTGCTTCCTGCAGAAGCYGGACCTGGGCAGCCTCGCGGCGGAGCCGCAAAGCGCCGTGTTCCAGTTCACTGCGAGCGGGGCGTGTGCGGACAGGAAAGCCGACAAGGCCAAGTTGGCGGCGTGGCCGGCCAGGGCTCAGGAAGGATCGCAGCCGCCTCTTCTGCAGGGGCCGATGCAGGGAAAGAAAGAAAAGAAAGAAAACCTGGCACACACAGAAGAACATGCTGAAGGTTTGTAGGTCTTTTTACATTAGAAAAATGTAAAATGTTTGCTGTCTTAATACACTTTATTTGAATGTGAGTGCGGTCACATATCACACAATATTGTATCCCTGGATCCAGTCTCTTTGATATACATTGTTTCTCTGAGTTGCTATTTAAATTCTCAGTATTAGGGTTTCCAGAGCTTGAACTCAGCGCTTTATCTCTACGTGTCTTACACATTAAGTCTTCCAGAACCAAAAAAGAAGGATAGTCTTCCTTTTTTGGGGAAGACTCTCCCCTTCAGAGTCTTGAGACTGAAGCATGGCATTCCCAWATGACCAGAGAACATAATTTGGCATTCAAATGTGATTATGAATTTGGAATTAAAGGAGAGCAATCAAGGATCCCAAACAGGGACTGAGCTCCTACAAATGCCCCAGTGCTCTGTAACTCCCATGTGTTCAAGAGGAACCTCCTTTGTATATGCTTAGCTGTATCATGCGTGTTCAAAAGTGGAGGGGTTTTAGTAATTAAGGGTGTCTTAAACAAGCCTTTGAGTAGAAGCTGTTGATGCTTATGTTCATTCCGCAGCAAAATGTTTCTAAGCGTTTTAGATGCCTTTATGTGAGATGTTCAAGGCTGCAGGCACTGGCCATGCAGAGAGTGCACAGCAGAAAGGTGAATGGGCCGGTTAAGATCCTGGTTTGGGGCCAGAGCTCTCTGTGCTACCACAAACGCAATCCATCTCTGCTAAATCACCGTCAAAATCACATCTGTTAAATCACCGGATCGTGCTGTGCTTTCTGCCTGGTTTGTGCGCTACTAAATGTCACGTCAGTGACTTAAAACCAGTACTGAAACAGTGCGGTCACTAAACTGGATCCCATTTAGCTCATACAGCAGCTAAATACGTGGACTTTTACCAGCATATTTGAGTTGATGTTCATATGTTGACCCAGAAAATAAATTTAAAATGCATCACTTTTTCCCATTGAAGACAGTGAACTTCCTGATTTTGACTACCTGAGTACCATGACTCATATTGTGCTGGTGGATCTGGACAACTGGGGAAGCTTATTYACACAGCTGCCAGCCAACCTCAACCAGGGCACCTTTATCTGGGGCTTTCAAGGTAAGCAACAGCTGAAGGAAATAGGAGTTTGARAGGACTAACAAGTCCACCCAAATACTTGAGCAGACATTCTTTGCATCTGAGACAATATTGAACAGGAACCCTATAGAGCCCAAGTCATGAAGCCACAGGTGCCATGCAACAGAAGTGGGTTTGTACTTCTCAAACTCAATCTTAAGCTCTTCTGTTCTTATTATTTCTCCTAGGATATTGTTCCAAAACTGTTTAAGCAGTTTAGGGATCTTCTCTGCTTCTGAAGAATGTTCTCTGCTCCTGACCCTACTTAGASTCTAACTTGTTAGCTTTTTGTAGTTGTTAGGAGACCCGTAATATTTGGAGATTATTTTCTTTGTAGCTGGTTTCCGGATGGCAGGTTGCCATCCTAATGTTCTTAGTCACAAAGACTTGATTCTGCTCCTTGTACTTGCGCCGCTTCTGACCTGCCTTTGAGGATGCCCCTGGTGATGCTGTTAMGAATTAGTTGGGCTCACATCTGGAGCATGGGATGGATAGAATTCACTCTGTTCAGGTTTTCTAAGCAAATTTCTCAAGAAGCTCCCTAGCAGCATCCTCTTAACTTGATACTTTGCAGTACCCAACTCTTCTGAAGCCGGTCACTGGTGTGCCTCACACTGCTGCTGTCTGCCTTGATCTCCCCTCTGGTACATTGAATACGTCAGTAGAGCCCAGGTAAAGAACAGCTTGCAGAGATCTGCTGCCTGGAACCCGCGTCATCGCCCCAAGCCAACCTATAAAATTGTCTGGCACGTTGTATCTTTAGGAAACCCCATTGTGTTGCACTCTTTTTTACTGGATATTCTTTATTACCTCTTCTTTCCAAGCACATACTGAAAGTTTACAAGCTGCTGAGCTCAGACAGAAAGGCCTGTTGATGCCTGAATTGCTTTTTTTCCCCCTCTTCTTGGAGCCAGGCATTCCATTTTGCTGATGGGGGCAGGATTTGTGTGTGCATTTATCAGCATGAGCTTTCTAAACAGCYAGCCAGGCACACAACAGGACCTGTGGTCTGATGTCTGGTTGTTCAGGAATTTTGGGGTGGGATTTTCTGGTCTCTTCAGTTGAAACTCCCTTCTCTATCTCTGCACTCTTCATTTATAGCAATGTTGTGATTTGGGTTTGTTTTTATTGGCTTTTTTAATTACCAATTTGCTGAAGGCTGGTCGATTGTTGTTATTTAAGCCAGCTGGTCCAGGAGCAATCATTAGTCCTTCTTCTTGAGATAAAAATGCCCCCAAAAAAATAGGAGTTGAAGAACCATCTTGCCATTTTCATATCTAAAGGCCAAAGCTAATCTTTGAGATTTTATAAAGAAAAATATATTTTTCTTTTTATAAAGAATTCTTTAGTAAATTATATTTCATAGGTCAAACTTTGCCCACTTGAACTCAGACATTTGCTTTCAATCATCCTGAGTTGGCCCTTCTGTTTAATTTAGCCCAAATCAGTTTGTCATTATTTGACCCAACATTGTTTCCTCCAACAAGCTCTCCTGTTCCTGCAAGCTTAGTAGGCTCCGTTTTGATTTGAAAAGGAAATATTGAACACAGTGTTTCCTTGTGCAGGAACCCAGGAGTGTCTGAACTGCACTGTCAAAATATATGATTGTCCTCTGCTCCAAGCAAGAGCAAGAACTTGAAGGGCAGTGTCACACTTACGTGAGGAACCCCTACTAGAGGTGCTGGGGCTCCAGTTGTCCTKTGCCCATTTATGGTCCAGTTTCACCATAGTAAATACAGCTCTGTCGTTGTTTTCAGCTGTTGTGGTCAAGTGTTTATGTCATGTATTAAACAAAATGTATGTAAACAAAACCCAGGCCTAACAATGACAAATCTCTCCCAAATACTGGTGAGAGCCTCAGTCACAATGGAGAGAACAAAAGGCCATTTTTCTGATGGGCAGATGGCCCTAAATCTTTTGTGCACACCATATTACTAAAACTTCAAACTTTCTGATCATTTTTGACAGCTTCTAGTCATTAGATTGGAAACAAGACAAAACAAGAAGAGAATTCTGTTGCCGATTCCTTGGGCTTCCCCTCCTTTGCCAGCTCAAGGGGAGATGCCTGCAGTTGTCTCTGTGTGTGTGTGTGTGTGTGTGGTCCTGCCCCAGACCTGCTACTTCTCATAGTTGGGAAGGTCATAAAGTTCCTATTTGCTCCCTTCAAACTGTTCTGCAGTTTCTTCCACTTGTTTCTTTCTTTCATACTCCCCTAGTAACTCTGCTGCTTCCTCTGTTTTTTCCCTTCTCGAGATTTGCTGCCTTTTCCTTTCTCTTGTTACCTGTTTCAACCTGTTTTTTTTTTCTTTTTATCTTGTACCAAACATTACTCAACTCTTCTCCGTTATCCAATGCCTCTGGATAATACTGGCATTATCCCTCTGCCAGTAACTACATGTTTTTATGGGTTCTTCTCTTCATGTATTTTTAGGACACTGTAGTCAAGAAAATCTCTGTGCTGCTTCTTTTCATTAGAGTCTTTTCTTGCTTATCCTGCATTGCATCCAGGTCTTTATTGGGGCTCTAGCATTTGTCTTCAGTTGTTGCCCAAGTTCTTTGATTTTCTCTTTAAGAGTTTTGACTTGAGATGTCAGACACAAAGGTTTTATTGGAAATTGTAAAGGGCTTGCTGGAAAGTCTCTGGCCCTAGCATGGGATTCCCTGTGAGGCCCTTTCTTCTCAGGGCTCCTCTGTTTCTGCTCATCAACCTTTTCTTGTCTTTGTGCTCAGATGAGTTGTGCTTCCAAAGGAAAGGGCTTGTGCTTGTGTAAAAACACACATGGTTTCTAGGAAATGACCCTTTCAGGATTAGAAGAAAAGTCCTTACAAATTTGAAGGCAAAACTTTCTCTCTGATGAGGCAAAGTTTAATCCATGCAGATTTTTTTAATCTGAGAATAAGAGATTTGAGGTTTTATGTATATATTTCTTTTGGTTTTTACAGTTATCACCAAATAGATTCGTCTCAATAGGCCCAGTTTAGCTTTGCTCTTCATTTCTTGGACTCCTAATTCCTGGTGACACTGCTATATATTTCTTTTCTTTGTGCAGGAGGATACAGCAACTGGAAGCCTCCAGTGCAGTGCAAAATTTATAATTATCTGAAGAAGATTGGCTGTTTCTTCCTTCATCCCCGCTGTGGCACCAGAAGAGAAGCCGCAGACTTTGCCCTCTGTGTTCACGTACGTTAGCGCACGCTTTCCTCCTTGCTCTGGTTCTGCACCTAGAAAAGCTGAGGTCAGCTCATGACAAGGGAGATTCTTAGGCTCTCTACCCATGGCTTCCCTTGAGAAGWGTGACAAAACTGCCACTGAAGAAGTTTCTGCTGCTGAGAGTGGGTTTGAAACCGTCTCCTTGTACCTTGAATATCTGTGATTCTCTGATTGTACTTTTCTCTTTGTCCTCATGATTGAATTTTGGATTGCCAAAGACATTGCCGCGTAGATTAAATTGCTAAATATATTAAATGGAGGTGTTATCTTTGCTTTTAAACATGTCTCCTTTTTCCCCACACAGGCTGGTCGTCTGGATGAGCACCTGCCCAAGCAAATCCCTTTCACGGTACTTTCTGGAGACAAAAGCTTTCTAGAACTGGAAGCTCAATTTAAAATGACACAGCGTTCAGCTCGCATCCTAAATCCTCATCACATTGAAGGAGACATGATGTGTGCCTTGCTAAACAGCATTTCAGATACCACAAAAGGTAGTATCTACACAAAACATATTAACTAAACACTAAGCACAGTCTTTCCAATAAACCAGTAGTCTTTCCAATAAAAGAACAGAATACTCATGCTGACAAAACAGTCTAATGGTTATCTCTGGTGCTTCTTTAAAATAGTCATTTTTCAATTGGGTATTGATCAGAGAATCAATTTTCTGATGGCCTATTTTGAAGCAAGACTTAATTATGCATTTCTCTTCAACATGGCAAACTCTGTACTCATGATATCCTTTGTTACAGAGAAGATAAATTGTGTTATTTCAGTCTGCAAATTCCTTCCAGGTTAAAAGAAAAGCGCTTTAGAGCACTTCAGTGCACGTCTTGGTGAATTCATCCCCAAATCTCTGCTTGATTTGGTCTGAGTCTGAAATAATTGTGAAATTGAGGCTCTTGAGAGAGAGTCYGCTAGAGCCAGCGCTGGCTCAAAAATTCTGTCTGTTTAAATTCTGATTGTCCTCCGGGCCATTTCCAATCATCTGATACTTGTTTTCACTGTTTCATGACTCACATGACCATATGGAGAAAGAATATCAATGAAAGCCTTCGGGCTCTCTAGAATCCATATTCTAAAGTGATCACGCTTTCAAAATACAAAACAGAGATTTGATGCAGAATAATCAAAAGAAATTTAATCCAGCTCATTTCCAAGGAGCAAAGGACATTGGAAACAGAGTTGAGCTTAAATACTTTCTCAATGTTTTAAAATTGCTTTCAGTGGAGTTTTTCTGGTAAATTTCTCTCCAGGCACCCTGTTGCTGTTCCTCGTTTCTGTCATGGCTTTGGGCCTGGCAAATTGAGCCCATTGGAGAAGTCATTTCTGAATCATCCCTAAGCTGTTTCCAGGGAAGGGAGGCTGGGAGTGTCAATGCAGGCTCGTGAGAATGACAGGGTGCTGCTGCCCTCTGCCAGGAAGTTTATGACGGAAGCACTAGCACTGAGTGCTGAATTAGCACCAATTATTAACAGAAACACTGGTTAAAGAATTGCTTTCCCTGAAAAAGTGATCTGTGGTGAGCCGGGATAAGGTCCTTGGTGTTTGCTTGCTGCTTCAGACACTTCCTGGTCTCAACTTGTTGACTGAATTATGGAGATGTGATTCCTGGCCAGAAGCATGCCAAAAATCCTAATTTGATAGCATTCTTCTAATGGAATTGCAGCTATAACTATGTTGAAGAGGAGGGTTGCTTTTGTTTTGGGAACTTTGCATGGCTTTATGGAAAACTGGTAGGACTGGCAGCCTTCGAGGCAGTAGAGCTTGGTCAGTTTGCATTCATGAAAAAGACTTTGTCTTCTATGGATTTTTGTTAGGGGATGTGACTTAAACTGAGGGTGTAGGAAGAGGGAAGTGACTCTTCTGCTCCAGAGTGCTGTTGTTCCCTGCTGAGTAGTTTTGCTTTAGTCACCTGCGTACCCTGGTTAACAGGAAATGAGTTTGATGTAACCATTTTTCTGTGTTTCAATTGTACTCATATATTAATTAGTCTTGCATTCATTAGTTGCTAATCTAACGCCTTCCTTCAGCATCCTTTCCTAGGTTAATACTTGTTTGCTGTTATGGTGAAGGGCATAACTAGGAAGCGCCCTAAGGTTTAACTTTTAACTTGATGTGCCCATAGTCATTGTGCTTCCACTTAAATTGTGCACCAGGTTGTGATCAAATATATAATATATAAATATATTAATAAATATTTTWAAATAATAAATATATTAATATTTATATCTAAAAATATATTTTGAGCCGAAAAGTACCCATACATGTATCCTTTCCCACTCATGGTTCCCAGACAAGTTCAAAATGGAGTGATGTTGGAAACTTTCCTTAGTTCCCTCTCCTGTCCAAGTTAGCAGGATGGAACCAGGTAGTAAAATTATCTTTTTGTATTAAAACAAGACTTTAAAAATAATATTAATTTTTGTTAGCAGACCTGTGATCTCTGTGTAGTGGAATGGTGCCATTACAAGGGGTCTGTGAAGGTCTTTCTGGAAAGATGTAATTGCCCCAAAATACAGTTAACCATGTGGCTCACCAGCAGCCACGGGCATTTGCAAGTCCTAGTGCAGCAACGAGATGGAAAGTCAGRAGCTCTGATAGGCTGGTGTGACCTATTGGCCTGTTACAGAGATGCAGCTGAATGTAAGGACACCCAGGTTCCAGAGCAAACAAATCTTGGTTTTGTCTGTCTTAAGCCTGCAGGCTGTTGGTTCTGACGGGAGAAGCAAGTGAGAAATTGGTTATTGCAGAGAGTTGTGTTGAAAAATGTAGGACAATTGTTGATGTTGGAAGAACTTCCAAATGAGGAAGCCATTCCCAGCCCTGGAACAATCTGCCCAAGGAGGTTGTGGAGTCTCCTCTGGAGATCTTCAAAACCCTCCTGGATGCTGCCCTGTGTCTCATGTTCTAGGTGTCCCTGCTGGAGCACCTTGTGAACCCGTTGGCCAGTTCAGCAGAACCGCTGCTGGACCCGGSGTCTGTGTAAACCAAGCAAATCCGGCAGCGGAGGAGCAGCTCTATCTCGAGAGACCGTAGGATGTTCTAGATGTGTGGGTTTCCCTTGAGGAGAGCAGGAGGGAAGATATCTCTTCCTACCTGATTTATTCTACTGAATCTGAGGTCTTTGGTATGAAAGTGTTTGGTTTGGTTTTCTTTTATGTTTTAGGTAGGGCACATGGTAGGAGATTCAGGTATATTTAAACAGCCTGAGAAGATGTTACAGAASAGTTTTTCCATGTCTCCCTTGTTTTTGTTTGCAAATACGGGAGGTTCAGAGCATATTTGTATGGGATATCTTGGCACTTGATGTCTAGCAGTCCTACTGTGGCAGCTCATGCTTCTGATGATTACTGTATGATGTGACAGTGCTGAGGACAAGCCTAATGCTGGTCTGGGAGGCATCATACCCTCACTGACACCGGAATGAATGMCAGGCCTGCTGCCTTCCCAACAGTGAGTTTTGGTGTGAGCTGGGGCTTTAACTTATATTATTCACGAAGTCGTCACACAAGATTTCTAATTAGCCAAACCCTTAGATAAAAACAGATTGTGTGTATGTGTATATATATATGTGTGTGTGTGTGTGTATATATACATATATATATGTACATATGTATAAAAGGACCATGTGTTTTAGAATATTTCCTCCCCTTTCTTTAAGGGGCAAGACTGCTTCAGGAGACTGAAAATCAACACTTGCRATTTGGTGCCATGCATGGCCTCTTAGCCCGTGCACCTCTTGCACTCACCCATAAGGTTCATTTGGGCCGTGTTTGAAGAGACAGGCTGAGAACTCTGCTCCCTCCACTACCCCTGTCTGTGGCATTTAGGCACCACTGAATTTAACTTCTGTGACAAATGGAATTTGGCAGAGCAGTGTTCCACTTGGCTCTGACAACTGCAGCCAAGTTTCCAGGCTCCCAGGCCTCTTGAGAGCCTCTCCTGAAGAGGGCAGAAGAATCTGAGAAGAACTAAGGGCTGATTCACAGAAGAGGAGTGAATTGCCTACGTTCCCAGCAGCCAAGGTCCTTGCTGGCGCCGTGGTCTGGTGCGGAAGACGCCAGTCCCTGCTCTCCAGCCCTTCAGTTGCTGACGGGCCTTGGACTGCAAGGGACCCCAGAGCCAGCRGCTCCTGCTGTCGCAGCAGGCCGAGCTCGCAGAGCCTGCCACGCGCTGCCCCGGCTGCTCGCTGTGCCCGGCCGCTCCTCGCGCCCGCGGCAGCCCATGCAGGTGCCGCAGGGAGCGGGACGGAGCTCGGCACCGAGCTGCAGGCTCGTGTGTGCTGCTGTCCGGAGC